GTGCGTGAGGGGGATCGAAAGATCATTCTTCCGCTACGCGTCGGCCGAAGCTATCGAACTGATCACGGTTGACTCCCCGCGTAAGAGGACACCGCCCAAGAAGAATGAACAAGTCGCTGAGATCGTCAACAACATGTCCGCTGACCTCGTGATTGACTTCACAGTGATCGTCGATGGCGATATCTACCCCGTAGAGATTGCAAGGACCGACGAGACACAGGCCGCTGACAACGTCACGGACGATCCAGGGTTCTCCGTTGCTCCACCAATACCTGCACAGGATGTAGATGTGGATGCACAACCCGAAGAAGAACAAGGTGCAGAAGACCCTGATCCCAGGCAGATGATTCGTGAAGGATTTGTCGCGCAGCTTCAGGACTATGTGGGAGTACTCGCTCAGGGCGAAATGTCGGTCGGAAGCGATAGACTCACGTTCTGTATCGCTTGTGGCAGTGATCAACACCATCTGTCCAATTGCACGGAAAATGCTGCGACCCGGGATCTGATACTTCGAAGCATCCAGATCATCAAGGAAAGCCTTCTTCGATATCCACGTCGAATACCTCCACAAAGATGAGCCAATGGACGTTGACACCACAGACCATGTGAGTGTTGCATCCTCGGACCGACGACCCAAGGCCAAAGCCCGACCGCGACGCGGAGGCGAAGCCGTACGGGGTGATGTGGTCTTGATCCGTTACGAGAACAAACACAATCTCTGCACGGATGTGGAAACCGTCGGGGCTTACATGATGCTTGTGGCCACTGCAGGACATGGGACCAGAGAACAGCCAGCGGGTGGTGGACCTCATTGAGCAGCTTTCGGACCATCGCGACCGACGCCTACCTCAACGAGGAGACCGTCCTAGCTTTGAATATGATGATACTATTCAGGGCTACACCAATGCAGGCTACGAATGCATCGGCGGCGGAAGGCCAATCCGATGCGGGATTCTCGACCTGATCCCAACCAAGGGTGCAAGCTTCATCCACAATCGATGGGACATCGTGAACGAAGTTGTCCTTCGCAACATCACCCATCATCGAAGAAGGAACGCGGATTGGGCGCTATCATGCATTCAATCTGACCTGCGTCACAGAATCGCCAGGCGCCCAGGCTCGGAATGGCTTGACAACAGGTGCCAGGTGGCATTCAGCAGCGTCATTCGATGTGATGAAGGAGGGTGGGTGCTGATCGAGGATTTGGTGAGGCATGAGCAACTATGGACCCATGACAGCAGACGCATCACCGAAGCGGTCTCAAGGACCGATGATCAACAGAGGAAGAGAGTGTACAATGAAAGACTCCAGCTATTGTTCCAAGGGAACATGCTCGCAGCCACGAGACGCCACAAGGCCAAGATTCGGCTGCAGTTCCTGGGAGTGAGAGTGAAGGACCCCGGCACGGAGACTCTTGGATCCGCAGGCTCGAACATGTTGGTATCGATTCCTGACCAGATCACAGAGATCCAGAACAATGATCGTTGCCGGCACAGCCAGAGGTACCTGAACGTTTGCAACGGCTGGGTGAAGCCATGGGCAGTTCGGGCTACGAGTGGTCACTCTGCGCACTCAGATCCCCAGAACAATTTGCTTCAGTTGGACAAGAACAGGTTCGCAATATCTCCATCTATGACCCTCTTGCAACGTCTTGGAGGCGCGTTCCACGCTACGGCATGCCGCAACCTGGATTCCATTGTCACGCAAGGCATCATGCCTGGTTCGGAGGACCCCGACGGGGACTTCGACCATAGGCGCCAATTTCGAGGCAACCAAGGCGGCAGACTCCACAGCTACTGGGGGGTATTCGCACCGTTCGATCACCGGAATGCGACGACCAAGATGCGGGTACATGGACCACAAGCCAAGCACATGCCGCTGGCGGTCCTCCATGTCCCATCGCAGGACCTTGCACGAGAAGATGGACGTATCACAGACAGCGGCATCATGATCGTTGGCCGAACGATACCGTTCCAGTTCGTCAAGGAGGTATGGTTTTGCGTCCCGAATCCTCAAGATACACACTCTTTCGCTCTGGTGGAAAAGATCTACGATGAACGGTTGGAGAAAGAGATGGTGTTGGACTACAATGCATCACCTTTGCTCCCTGAGTTCGAGAGATACCGAACACCAAGCAAGATCATGGAATTGCTTTGCGAGATGCCTCCTGGACCCCACGACACCAGCAAGGAGCAGATCATTCGAGACCTTACGACTGTCCTGGAGTCCCACAGGGAGAACACGGTTCGGCATCACTACATGGACAAAGGGATCAAGTTTGTCATCAAGAATTGGCGACCCGAAGACCTACGCAGAGACGAGGATGGAAGGAGAATGAGGGTGTGCCCGGCATGCTACAACATCGTTCCAGCATGCTTCTCCCGATGCACGTCCTGCTGGTCACAATTCGTTTCTTGCGGATACTACCAAGGTACTCCACAACGGGAGACTCCTACGGAGATCCCCAGTGACTTCATTGCTCAGACAATGGAAGCTGCGGCAGCAGCAGTGCCTGAGGCGACCGTCGAGGAGCAGGAAGCCATGGAGATAGAGACCGTTGCGGAACCTGAGGAAATCCCAGAACCATCTGTCATCGCGGAGGACGATCCAGAACAGGAACCTGATGAAGAAATGGACACAGAGCCAGGAGAGGACTTTGATGACGCAGTACCAGATGCAGTTGCACAGGAACGACGTCCCGTCCTCATCGCCGGCCAGTCTTTGAACATCGATCCTGAACTACAACTCGCACGTACCGCCATGCAGCCATCCTACTACTCAGGAAAGCGAAATGCCCATTGCATCGACGCCAACATGGCCGCTCTTTCGTATATGGCATTCGTGGTATGCAGAACCATCTACAAGGCTTGGTCAGGATTCGCGAAGTGGGCGACTATGCCGTTGTTCCAGATGAAGGAGAATTTCGCACTTGGCCAACGCTATGATGTGCTCGGAAAATGGGGATCTTTGGCTGTAGTGGACAGAGAGACGGGTGTGAGCAGGGATGTGACTGACGAGGAGATCATTCGCTTTGCCAAGGAGCCTGAGAACCTCAAGCAGTACGATCCCAACGGGACTTACACTTTGAAGCGCTTCCGGACGAATCAGATGCTTTCGTTGCTTACACGGGGAGCCAACATGATGGGAATTGGCAGGGACAACTTCAACCCTACTACGTACTTGAAGAGCAACAGGGATGAAGATGTGAAGGCTATGCACTTCTGTTGCCTGAACGTCCTGTGCGAGGTGATTCCGATGGTGACAGGACACCAACAATTCTCAGTGCTACGACCAACGCCAACTGGACCGGTGGACTTCCTGTACATCGACCCTGTCGGTATCCTGCTGACTCACGCCGATCATTCAGTCCAGACCATTGGATTGCTGGTGGACCACAATGTGCAAATGCCTGCGCATTTCATGGACAGATTGGTCAGATCCAAGGCTGAGAGACAGCAAAATCCGACAACCAAACGTACTGAAGCCCTACATCACATCTCGGCCGCTGACTATCTCCCTCCAGGTGGTACTTCCATCCTGGACACGCCTGTCACTACGGAGGAACGTGCAAGCGCTTCTTCGGCCAAGGGACCTTCAAAAGGGCGTGAGAGAACCGGAGGTGAGCAGCATGGAGGTTGGAACTCCAATTCCTACTACGACTACACCGCCGGCAAAGGCCGAAACAAAGGCAAGGACAAAGGAAAGCAAAGGGAACAGTATCCAGAGGAAAACCTCCGGCCCTGGGACCGCGATCCTGCGACCACGCGAAGATGGAGATGAATCAACGCTTGGTCTGCCTCGCCTTTCAGTTCGTGACCTCTGAGCTTCGCCCGTGGAATGCCATCGCGAATGCTTCTTTCTTCGGTGACGCCTGATTCGTTTGCCATTTCAGGGGATCGTTACTGACGTAGATGAGTGTCACAACGTTTCTAATTGGGATGCAAAGCTCTGATTTTCAATGTCAACGTTGCGGCGGAACATTTTCTGTTGTCCTATCGTGCCATCTTCCGGGTGAGCAGCGTCGGAGACGCAACTCATGGGGGGTGCGAACGGACTGCGATGCCTTGTCAAGTTCTAAGGTGTCACTATAAGAGCTGTGAGCAAGACCATGTAAAGTGCAAGGGAAGGGGGCACGCTACGCGTCCCTCGACTCTAAGGGGGCACGCTACGCGTCCCTCGACTCTAGGAGTAAGCTTGTGGACGTGCTGCGCACACCGCATCGCTTCTCCTTACCTTTCTATGTGACCGCCCACGCAACGTTTGGCTCAAGTCAATGCCCATAGCTAAGTGCTATATGTGTCTTCTATCCTGAGCAATCAGAGCTATCCCGTGCACAGACGAACCGCCGCCGGCAGCGAGTGCAAAAGGAACGGCCGCCGGTTCTGCCTGCATAGGATTGCACGTGTGGAAGTGTGAGAGAGACAGGGTCCAGTCTGTGGAGAGTGCAAGCCAGCCACACCTACATTCATTACAGCTCTGGTGGGGAGAGCAGCAACACAATCGAGATCAAATCCCCACGCAACTACTACTACTACTACTACTACTATTGCTACTACTGCTACTACTACTACTACTACTACTACTACTACTACTACAGGCAAAAACTACTTCTGCTACTACTACTGCTACTACTCCACTACTCAGTACTACTCATCCACTCCTACCCATCCCTGCGGAGCCGTCATAGGCGTGCCAGGTGGGAGACAAAAACTACTACTCCTCCTGCTGCTGCTCCTGCTGCTCCTGCTGGTGCTGTTGCTGATCCTGATCCTGCTGCTGTTGCTACACTGACGACGACAACCCATTTTTTGCCGTTGTTTTTTTTTGTGTTGTTGTTGTTTTTGTTCCTTTGTCGTTGAACTTGCTATGTTCAGGAGTGTCATTCCTTCTTTTCTTGAGCAGCCGATGAGTGTGAGGATATATACACACACACACACACACACACACACACACATATATATATATATATATAAATAATCCAAAATCCCCTGGCCTTGGAGGAGGATGTGGGAGCTGACGAAGATGACGTCGGAGCAGGGAGGTTTCTCCTGAAGGACTGTCCGAGTGACTTGAACCCGCTTAGAGGGTCCGATGCCCCTGGTGGTAGAAATTGATACCCGAAGTTTCGCAAGCATAGCAGACCCTAAATCCGAAACCCCTAAACCCTAAACCCAAAACCCTAAACCTGAACTCTTGACAGTCCCGATCCTCAGCCACAGCTTGAAGCCCAGCCCGGATCAGGATCTCGTCTTGAAGCTCACAGCCCCAAAGCCCTCAACAAGAGATGGAGGGAGTAAGGATATGTAGAACAATCTGTGAGTGCTTGGACTGGTTTGCCTTTAACAGGTGCCATGTCAACAAAGCTGGAAAGCAGCATCAAAACCAAACCCTCCTTGTAATACACAGGGCTGAATTCACTGGACCGTTGTACCTATCTCCCTGCTTCGTGTACTCAGCCATGCAGGAGGCAAGAAAAGCTCTCAACCCCTAAGCCGTGCAATCCCAAACCTTTCAAGCCAACAGCATCAGGGTACGGCGGAGCGCTGGAGCCCTACTGCCCATCTTTTTCGAGAGGCCGCGACGTTGCAGCCGAGTCCAGCACCAAGGCCTTGCGAGCCGCAGCCCGGCTGCAAAGGGTTTGAGAACAGCCACTAGGAGGCCCTTTTGACTTAGTAAGTAGGGTTAGTAAGGTGGGTTATGGGGATTATAATGGGGTTTCTAGGGGATACTAAGTAGACTTACTAAGTCAAAAGGGCCTCCAAGCAGGAGAAAGGCAACTGCAGAGTTCAAGGTTCAGGGATGAGAAGTCAAAGGGGAATTTAGGGTGTGTGGATGTTTACCGCTTATGGTGCCAGGACTAGTGACTGGTACTAGTACTAGTACAAGTACCAGCGCTAGTTAAAAACCGAGCAAGTCTAATAGGATCATTAGCCGCATTCACGACGACCAGCCGAACAGAGCCTAGCAGCCGCAGATAGTGCTGACGTACCCAGACATCAAATCGGGCATTGAAAAACAATAGTGAACAGTATTTGTGAAGATACCTCTCGTCTACTGTTTGGGACCACGGCTTGTTGCGCAGTTCCTTTGCCAAGAAAGGTTCATAATCTGGGTCAAAGCCTCTTGGGTCCAAGGGAGTGGATTCAGCTTTGAACCTTTCGAGGTCGGGTTTAGGGTTGAAGGGTTCCGAGAGGATCTGAAAAGAACAGCAGAAGCTGCGCGAGTTTCGAGATCCGGCCCGTCCTTGCCCTCGTCGAGATAAGTATGATGCATTGAACTGAAGTATACTGAAGCTAAGACACCCTTTCCCTTGCTTTTGTCGTGGAACCTCGTTAGGTTGCAGCCCTGTCTTGGTTGTACGCCCGACAAGAATATCCCGGGGCTCGAAAGCTTCCGACAAACAGGAAGTTCTCGAGCTGCCAAACTCGAAGAAGGAAGGGACCAATTATGGGAGTTTCCGAAAATTAGGGGTACCTTCTGTTGGGGTCCTTGTAATAAGGACCTTGCTATCTACGGTGGTATATCATGCTCACCTTAGTTTCGGAAACTCCCATATCATGTGTCAGCCAGTTAGGTTTCGTTTCGAGCCGAGGCCCCGACAGCTCGACTTTCAGTTCTTTGCGCGCAAAGGCCCCGCTTTCTGGTCCGGGTTGGCCTTTTGGAGGTTGGGTTCTAAAAGGCCTCATTTGCGTTGAGACCGCTGAAACATGTCTGTGGGTAGCATGTAGTATGGCCGCGGGGCTCAGTGGAAATATTGTTTGTGAGAGTTCCCACATACACCAATCGCAAAGGGCCGCTCCAACGCTAGTTTAGTTATGCAGGCCTGCGTATCACAGGCCTTCTACGTGTTGCGGATCACGGGAATCTCTTGCACCAGTGATCTCGCTGCCATGCGTGGTTTGCGATAGCATGTTATGGCATGTGATGTCAAACCTTGGCCCTATAACACCGATGTATTTAGGACCCCCAAAAAAGCACTCTAATAAAGACCCAAGGTTTCTGAATAAGGTTCCTACAGTAGGCGGGTGCGCCTGCTGCGGCCGGTGGCCCTACACTTGCCAGCTCTGGGGAGGGCCTGTGAAGTAAACATCTCGGTTGTAGATTTCGTAGACCCTAAACCCTAAACCTTAAACCCTAAACCCTAAACCCTAAACCGTGTAAGGAAGAGGCCTGACATTCCCAGGGCCCCTTCAGTCATTCTACACCCTAAACCCTACACGCAAAACCCAGAGTTGAAGATACCAGATCCAGCAGCCAAGATCCCAAGCCCTCAACCCCCTCCCTTCCAAAGCCCCCTCCCCTAAACCCTAAACCCTAAACCCTACACCTACGAAAACCTGTGCCCAGCACCCGGTGGGCAGCAGATGTTCGGAAGTAGTGGCCGCGGCCTCAGACTTGCTTCTGCCTCTAAGTTGCAAGTTTCCCTGCCCTGTTGTGGGGTTACCGTGCTGCCTACTTGGAGGATCATGGGACTTGGTAAATAAAGTTATAAGTAACTTAAGTGGGGAGTTATAAGTATAGTTACCTCATTTATGACCCCACTTACTAAGTCCCATGATCCTCCAAGTACACGTCACCCAGAGCCAAACGCATCCCAAGCTCCACGAGGATCCGAGAAGGAGATGCAGGTTCGCAGCAGCCGGCGCCCCCCTTGGACAGATGGGGGAGTTTCCGAAAGTAGGGGACCCTAATATGGCACCCTAAATAGCAGGATCTTTAGAATAAGGAGCCCAAAATAGGGTACCCCTAATTTTCGGAAACCCCCATGGGGTTTCCTAAGCTGTTGGGACTCGGTTCTTAGGTTTTTGTTGCTCAGACATTCCGGCCATTGCACAGGTCCCGCTGCAAAAAATTGGTCTTTCAATAGGGGTCTTTGTTCCAGGGTCCTAACCAGGTCGGGTTGTCGGAGAAAGGTTCCTCTTTTCGGGGTTATATACATGCGGCCGTTGTAGGATGAGTGTAAACAGCTGCAGGCACAGATATCGGCACATCGCACAGTTGAATTTCATCTTCAGCGTGCACGGGGAGATACAGAGAGACTGCTATGCCCGAGCGAGAGAGAGCGAGAGAGAGAGAGAGAGAGAGAGACAGAGAGAGCCCTAGCCCTGGCGAAAGAAAGAGAGACAGAGAGAGAGAGAGAGAGAGAGAGAGAGAAAAACAACAAAACAAGGAAAAATCACAGCGAACTTTCACATCCTCCCAAAGCCTCAGAAAACTGGGGGGCCCCGGTGGCCGGGGGACTTCACTTGTCCCCTATGCCCTGCGGAAGAGAGAGAGAGAGAGAGAGAGAGAGAGAGAGAGAGAGAGAGAGAGAGAGAGAGAGAGAGAGAGGGAGAGAGAGAGAGAGAGAGAGAGAGCGCGAGCGAGCGAGCGAGGGAGGAGAGAGCGAGCGAGGGAGGAGGGAGGGAGGGAGAGAGAGAGCAAGACATGGAGCAGAAGAGGGACAGAAAGACGAAGTGGAAGGGAAAGGGAAGGCTAGCCCAAAAGGTGGGAGATCCACAGAGAATTGCATTCTCTCTGCGTCAAGCCGAAACCAACCGTCGCGTGTGCGCCAGGCTTAGCTCCGTGGGATCTGCTGCATCAACGCTGCGGCCACAGGCCGGGTTTAGGGTTTCGTAGCCAACAACAAGTATATGGGGTGCAAAAAGCGCTGGGCTAGTGTTGGGTTCTTCAAGGGCAACTGCAAGGCGACTACAAGGGTTCAGGTGCGAAGCCGTAATAACTTGGAATAGCCAGAAATCGTACCAGTTGATGCGATGTTGACGGGATCTGCAGTAGCCGCAGTAGCTGTGGACGATGCGAAGAACTCAGGTATTTTAGTTCAGTGCTAGTAGTGATCGATGTCTTCTGTCGCATGTTTTGTAGTTTGGGGGTCTTCACCTGTGCTACAGTTTTATTTCCATACCCGCCGGAAGCTTCAGTGCTACTCCCGCCGAGCAAGCAGTATGCGTTTCCTGCCTTCATGTCACGGCTGAGGATATTTCAGGGCCGAAGGTCTTTTTCCCCTGGCCAGGTGTCGCCTCAGGGATCCGTCGTGAGTGCATCCATGTCTCCTGTGCGGGGGCGCGCTGCCGCGCCGGGGACCCGGCCACCTCGAGTGTCCTGATTTTAGCATGCCTTTGGTCAAGACTAAAACCCTAAACTTCCTTAAATCCTAAACCCCAAACGTGGCAAGAGCTTTTGCATTTTCGAGACAGCTTGGAGCTGTTGGAGCTGCGCTCTGCAGTTCTATGCAGGCCCTGAAGATCCAAGGGACCTGTGTAAGTAGGCACGGCATCATTCAGGGTCCTAGCAGCTAGCTCCCTGAGTGTTCATGGCAGATCGGAAACCACGGACTCTCTCGTTCCCGATTCCACGAGCCATCGTTCTCGCGATGACGATTCGGATGCCCATGGCTGTCAGATTTTGATGCTTGTCACATTGTTTGCATCATGTTCCTTAGTCCTACCGTTCATGATGCTCGTTTCAACAGCCAGTATCGCCACGATGGCGGTTATTACTCTGTTGTTGCTGCGACTTCCATTGTCTTGTCAAGAAAAACCCGAAGGCAAACATCTTCGTGGTTAAGACAAGCTGCAAAGTTATGGCGAGTTTGGGAGGTTGGCGGGTGGTGCTCTTGGTACTGCTTGAATCCTTACGTGTTTGGAAGCCCTTTAAGGTTTTAGGTGTATTCCTGACATTGGGGTATGGGGTCCTCCACCCTAAAGCCTTAACCACGAGGATTCGAGAGGGGAAGAAACCCCCTAGCCTTGAAGGGCTCCTTGGTGGGGTTACCTTCAAGGGATCCTTGGAAGGTTCCTTTAAGGGATGGTTGAAGGGATCCGGAGCCCTGGTAGTTCCCTTAAAGGAACCCTTATCGATCCTTAAAGAAACCCATTAAAGAAACCCTTGGGGGGACTTGGTCCTAGGTCCTCCCGGTTCCACTCAGGCCCTAAACCCTGAACCCTAAACCCTAAACGGGTTCCACTCAGGTATCCACCGCGGCGGTCTTCCTCGCCACCGGCCCGCTTGAGCTCCAGTGGCCCGGCAGCAGCGGTTTAGTTTGGGGTTTCGGGTTGAGGCTTCTTGATTTAAGGTTCCTTTGAAAGGGTACAAGGGGCTCCCTTGAGGGATCTATAGCGCTTAGGGCTATTGATACAGGGTTCAGGGTTTGGGGTCTTCAGGGTTTGGGGCTTGGAGTTCAGGGTTTTGAAGAGATTTCTCTCTGAAGTGCCTCCAGCAGTATGATTTCATCGATCTCTCGGCAAACATGTCTAAAAAGGTTTTTTCCCTCCTACCTAGCAAGGACGAAGCCCGCATAAGAAGGAGTTTAGGGTTGAGGGTTTGGGGTCTCCGGGGGGGGGATATGGGGTTTTTACTATACAAGCCAACCGAGAGCAGGTGCAACAGTCTCTCCCCAAATGAAGTTCTATATATATATATATATATATAATAGCTTTCGGTTTCAGGGTTCGCAATAGCCCTGATGCAAAAAAGGGCTGCAGAGTCGGAGAGCTTCACGGTTTGAGAGTTCGTGCAGGCTTTTAGATTGTCACGGATCGTCTAGAAGCTTCTTCTGTTTCGTCTGCTTTTCCGCGGTCCGGGGGCAGACGATCTCCCGGATTTTGCAATGCCTGCCATGATCACAGTCAGGATTCAACTGGGAAGGATTGGCAAGATATAGGGTTTGAACGGATTTAGTAGGAATTGGGTTTAGGGTTTACTGTAGGGTTTTGTATGGGTCTCGAGCTTCCTGGTGAGAAGGAAGCCCGCTCTTAGCTCTCCTCCCACAGACCGCAGACTTCCAAACCCAAAGGAACCCTAAACCCAGCAACGTCGAGGAGTTCTTCGTGCGCATTCGTTCTTGGGCCTCTGCCACCTCTAAACTGCCCCGGTTCGTCTCACATTAAAGGGTACTATAAGGGGTTCCTTTAAGGGATCTATAGGGTTTAGGGTTATTGATTTAGGATTCCTTTAAGGGGTACATACGGGTTCCTTTAAGGGATCTATCGTAGGGTTTCTTTGTGTTTCTTTGAAAGGGTGCTATAAGGGTTCCTCTAAGGGATCAATGGGTTTAGGGTTATTGATTTGAGGTGCAAGGTTTGGGGTTGCAGCCATCATCTCTCCATTATTCATCAAGCATGCTGTCCTCATTGGCGTGATGTTTTCCGTGTAGAGCTTCCCTGGCGCCGTGGAGTTTTCATGCAGTGTGACTTGGGTGTAGTAACTATATCTTGGTTGGATAGAGTTGAAGGCATGCGGATCTTCCAACGCCCTGGCACGCCGCTGGAAATATGTCAACTGTGGTTCTGTTGGTTGCAGTTCGAGTTTGACGGGCTGCTTCTGGACATTTACGTACAGGATGATCATGTGCTCGCGTATTATCCTCAATTGTGTGCCATTCACCAACATGCTTACGACAAGTTCGGACTAGTATGCCTTGTCAGTCAGGTCTCTCACTCGCATGCTCAGAAGCTAGGGGCACTGTCACGAGCACAGTCCTAACTGGCGGAAGAGCGGCAAACTACCAGGCGTCCTTGCAAGCAAGCCTGCAGCAAAAGGGTTTGAGGCGGACATTTACAAGTTTGTGCCAAAAAAGGGTTTGAGGCGTGACGTTGCAAGCCAGTTGCAAGAAGGGTTAGAGGTTCATTTTGCGATAAGCTCTCAGCCTTAACTTTAGCAGGAACATGTGGGCACAGTGGAAGCTCTCGCTGACCCTGCATGATAGGTTGGACAACTCGGGGACACACGCCCAAAAGGTCGTAGATCATGGAGCTATAAGACAGAAGGCGACGACCAACGACTACCTCGCGGTCCAGAGTCTTTCCAAGCATCACTGGTACGGTGCTCTTTACTATCAGATTGGACAGCCAGTGTCAAGTTCGCGGCTCCTGCGTCTGTGAATCTCATGCTCCAGGACTTTTCGCGCTGCACAGGTTGAGACACGTACGAAGAATCAGAGGCAAACCTGCAACATGTCAGCGAAGCATGCGCCGCCCGTTGACCATCCATCCTGCGTGGCAGGGTTGCAGAAGAGGCTTTCAGCTTGATGTGGCATGAGCGTTCTGGGTTCCGTGGAGGAAGAGTCATGCGTCGCCAGAAGCATTAAGCCGGACGTAAGCCATCTGCCACACGGGCTAGGCGGCTAGTTTCGCTCGTCAGGACAGTATTGGAAAGCCTGAATTAATTTCCCAAGCTGCTCGGGCTTGTTCTCTTGCTTGATAAACTCTCATTTAATCGAAGCCATAAGTGAACAAACAGCTACCGACGACGAAGCTTTGCAAACTGCGCCCCGGAGCTTTACCACAGGGGCTGGAATAATTAGTAATGGTTCTATTAATGTTTATTCTCTGTAGTCCTTTTGTGCTTGTACAATAATTTGCTCCTAAGCCTTATCCTAGCTATTGTAAAAGGCCCCCCCCAAAAAATGCCTGGTGTCAGGCCAGTGGTCCCCGCTTGCCGCTCCACAGGCAGGGCCCTGTTGTTGTTTGGTTGCGGAAGGGGAGGGGAAGCTGTAGGAATGACACATAACACCAGTTTTGTGAACATGCTGAGATGTATATGGAGCAGGTGATCCAAAGGAAGTACATACCCGGCCAAGAAGCAACCAGCTTAGATTCGATCTTCAGTCTGAGCTCTGGGCATCGGGTGGTTGTTTCCATCTGCTTGAAGCCCACGGTGCTCTCTAGCCAACGCTTCCCCCCCCCCTAGAGAAACTATCCAGTATCTAGTTCTCTAAATTAGGAGCACTTTTTATGTAGGTGCCCAAAATGGTACGGCAACCTTACAGTAAGGAACCCAAATTCAGAGAACTACACAACCAACTGCGACACCATTGCTGGGATTTGATCAGATCAGGTGGCTCCGAATGCTCGGGTGAGCTCACCGCCGCTCTGCTGGCGACCCCTCAACTCCCAGGACCACCCCCCAGAGAACCCAATATCCCTTAATTAAGGAATATACCTTAAATCATATTAGGGATCCTACTATAACTTAAGGTATATTCCTTAATTAAGGGGTATTGGGATCTCTCTGCCGGGCTTGCCCAAACCTCTGGAGATACGGGTGTGTTTAGGGTTTTAGGTTCAGGGAGCTTGGGGTTCAGGGCTGAGACTTTACGGTTTCCAGAAGTTGGTAGACGCCCTGGGACCCCAGGATGGATCCTTGTAAGATCCCACTTGGAGGCCCTTTTGACTTAGTAAGTCTACTTAGTATCCCCTAGAAACCCCATTATAATCCCCATAACCCACCTTACTAACCCTACTTACTAAGTCAAAAGGGCCTCCAAGCAAAGAGCGGAGAGTACATGAGAGACGAGGGCTTGTCGCGTTTCGGCTTTGGCTTTCTTGGTGCAACCAGGTCCAGGGTGGGAGCCTGGCATAATATCCCCCGGCAAACGGTGAATCATACTAGTAGGATGCTTCTTAAGCCTCATAGAGGCTCAGTGCTAAGTCCCAAATCCTAAGTCCTTAGCCCTCTGTACCTAAACCCATCTAAACCCTAAGGCTCAGGCATGTTTAGTTTACAGGGGGTCAGGAGGTTGGAATTGGGATAGTGGCTGCCAAACCAGCAGGGTCCTTACCATAGTGACTCCGGGATCACAACCTCCGGAACTCCCTACATGGCTTGAGGTTGAGCGACCAACAGAAATTAAACGTCGAGCTTTCGGGTACACTGTATATACTCGCAGGACACTGAAGTTTACGAAGAGGGTACACGCAATGGGTCATTTGTTTATGGGTGGTGGCCACCGAAGGCAAACTCCGCATGCAGCTGTCGACCAAAACCCTACCACATCAGCTGGGTGGTTGTCAAAATTATGGTCCCTCTTTTGGGTCCTTATTTTAATACGGCACCTAATATTTACGGTACCCGAAAAGAGGCCATAATTTTGACAACTACCCAGTTGCATAGCGACCTTCTCTGAACCTTGGACTTGTACCTTTGTTCTGCGGCTAGTTTCGGACGATTTCCCTGCGGTGCGACTGTCAGCTGAATCATGTGAACCTTGCTTCTTCAAGGGCCTTCATTAAAATGCCCATGACTGGCTTCTGTGGGAGTCTTGCTTATCTAAACCTAGCAGTCGAGTAGGTAACCTTTAACCTTTTTTAGGTCGTATAGCCCCTACCCATATAACCAAAAAGGTTAACCTTTACTCTAGTTCCCCATGATACCCGACAAGTATCTAAAATCCGAAACGCTAAACCCTAAAAGGCCTCGCCTGGTATCGCGAGAGTGTGAGCGTCAAAAGCCCTAAGAGCTGACTTCACGTTGCCCGGCCTCCCTCGTCCTCCGTCCATAGGGGCCCTTAGGGGGGTAGGGGGAGGGCGGCAAGGGGCCTTAATGCCCATAATAAGGACCTAAGGGCTCCGTCCTGCAGGTGCACCCCTTCACGCTCTAGCAGCCTCAGCCGATGCACGTGCGCAGTCGCTGAGCCCTGAACCCCTGAGCTCTGAAGGCCTTAGCCGCTAGGCCCGCTAGGCACCCCCAAACATCTAAGAGCCTCAGCCCTAAACGCTTCGAAAGTGTTGGGTTCGTCAGGACAGGGTGCTGGGTTTGGAGTTTTGGGGGTCCAGTCTGGGGTGGAGTCAGGTTCTGGGGATATGGGGACCCCTACCCTATAATGGGCTATATAATGGGTATATAATAGCTATATTAAGGGTATATACCTTGGGGTCCTTATTAAGGGTTTAGCTTTAGAGGCTCAGGTCCGGGTTGCAGAGCAGCTGGGGTTCAAGTTTCTGGGGTGGATGGCGGGTGCACACGTCAAGAGACTCTTCGATAGAAGGATGTCGTGACTTATGTCATATTAAACCCTAAGCCCTAAACCCTAAACCCTAAGCCTTAAAACCCTAAACCCTAACCCCTAGACCCTAAACCCAATTCATGAAGCGGATCTGCAGGCAGTGGGATCCAAACCCCGAGTGCAGTCCTCTAGCCCTAGTGTCTCACCTCAAATGCATGGCAAGCCTCGCTGCTTTCCTTCTGGCGATGTGTTGAACTGAGCAAGATCCCACCTTAGCCGGCCCTATGTCTAATATAGGCGCCTAGACTATTTTGGGCCTTATAATGATTATAGTATAATGTACCCCCAGACCCTATTCTAATTATTAAGGCCCCTAGATTATTTTGATTAGGGTCATCGCCTGTGTTGCGTATGTTGCGTAAGCTTAGAGTAATGACGTACACACTCGTGTCACTGATGCCGAGTTACCCGCCAGCCTTGCATGGATTGTCACGGTGCGAGTCTCAAAACCCTGTCAAACCCCAGGCAAGCAGGATAAGAGTAACAAAAAAACATGCTTATATGGCTCTTTCCATAGTAGATCCTGTTGGAATTCCCTCATAGGATTCTACATATGAACCCCAAAAAGGAACTACTATGGGCCCTTTCAAGATTGGACCCTCAGCCCAGAAGCAGCAGAGTGCCGCGGCTTCTGTCATGCTTGTATGCGTAGAAAGCTTAGAGTTTCCTGTGCGGATCTTCGCGCGAGCCCCTTTGCGCGGTTTCTGGTCAGATGAGGATGATGATAACGGTTCTGATCAGTGCTACAATAGCAAGCGAAATGCTACGATTGTCTAGGTTTACTGCAATTGTACTTCTAGGGTTGCTGATGTCGGCCTACTGTTGTCAAGCATCGTCACAGCCCTGGCAGCCTGTAACGATGTTGACCATGACAGCAAGGTTGGTCATGCTGCTGTGCACTTCTGTTGTGGGAGCTTCATCAATTAGTGATACTATTGCTTAGGGCTCCTTGCTGTATTTAAGCAAAATTTACCCCTCCAACCAAACCCTGTCGTAAAGCCCCTTGAAGCCCTTATTGAACCCTTCAGAGGGACCCGTATAGAAACCCTTTTCTAACCATTAAGGCCCTGAGTTTATCCAGACATTGTTCTTCTGCTTTCAGTTGCGCCCCGAGGACGACAGCAAAAAGCCCAGAAGTTGAAATCACCCGAAGCCCATGGGCCTAGGGTTTAAGGGCTTAGGGGTTTAGGGCTTAGGGCTTAGGGTTTAGGGCATAGGGGTTTAGGGCATAGGGGCATAGGGTTTGGGGTTGAGGGTTTAGTATTTAGGGCATAGGGGTTTGGGTTTGGGGTCTCTGGCCTCTTAAGCTGTCAACTCTGCATGTTGGGTCCTAGGAATGAGAACCTGTTGCCGCAAAATTTGATGATCTTTGAAAGCGCTAATTGAATCCTAAGCTATGCATTCAAGTAGAAAGTCGGGCCGAAACCCTAATCTTAAATCCGAAGCCAATCTAACTTGTCCAACCCTCTGCAACGGAGCCCCAATGAATCTAAATGAGTTGGTTCAGGATTGAGGTTTTTCAGCAAGAGGTATAGACGTTGCTCGTAGCAAGGTTGAGCATTAGGGTTTTTCAGTTGCACAGTCAAAAGGAACGTAGTTGTAAGCTGCCAGAAGAACATCGATATCCGTATACAGTGGAGAAGGCTCGTTCCTTCTAATGGTAACTTAAGTAGACTCCTTAGCAAGAGCCCAGTTGAGTGTTGAGGGAGCACGCTTTTGAAACGAACGAGAAGCACTACTTTTGAGGGCTTCGTCCTTGGGGTTCAGGGCCTAGCGTTGGAGGTTGGGGTTTAGGGTCGAGGGGTGGGTTTAGGATAATGACACAGGAAGAGCCCGGCAGGGCTTGGTAAGCAGGGCGGACGCAAGCGGTAAAGTTCAAGAATGATGAGAAGAGTTGTTGTGCGTTCGAGCCACCGGATGACCCATTTCATGCGTTGCGGACAATGAGACGAAAGAGGCTACACCATGATTTCGCTTCGGCTGTAGGCTAGTTGTTGTGGGTTCTTGTTCTCCTTTTTGACCTTAAGAGTTGCAAGTTGTGGTTTGCCGGTGGCCATGAGGCTTCCGATCCTGGAGGTAACATGCTTTGGCGACTTGCCCCCCTGCACTTGACCACCGCTTCCAGTGCTGCTTCTACTGCTTGCACATGCTGCAGCTGCTACTGTTTGGGCCCTCGCCACAACTCTTGCCAGTGCTTCCGCCCGGAATGCCACTGTCATCACTATGGTGGCCCTCGCAACAGCTGTGACTACGACCTGACAGTGACGACTCCTCGTGCCACGTTGTCGCTACCGCTGCTGTTCTGTCGATCCGTTTTTGCGATTCGTTCTTATCTTTGACTAAACACAATCGCGGGACCACAGGCATGATCGGAGTTTTCAGTCGTAGCAGGTTCCTGATGATTTGACGAGGGGTCGCATTATAAACAGGGCTTCGACGCCAGCTAGCTAGATCTTGCAGTCACTACGATAGTGTTTTTCTACATGGGCTTCTTCGCTGTCGTTTCCCAAGAATCTACAAGCTTTTTGCCTGTGCACTTCGCAGCTGTCCAGCTTCCTCTGTTTCAACGCGGGCTCAACCACCAGTGAACGTGTGGAGCCCATTACGTCAGAGCGTAGTCAGGGCTCAAGCGAGGATGCGGTTTGCGAAGTGTGCTGCTTCGAACCCCGCACCATCGCGTGCTCTCCGGAAACTTAAATGTATGTGATGTAACTCTGAACACTCTTGCCGTGAGAACGATCGTTGACATCACTCAGCACTTGTGTTTAACAGTCGTGCTAAGCTTTCAGCTTTTGACCTGGGCTCTGCGGCTGAGGCTGAGAAGGCCCTGAGCACACCCTTAAACCTTGATATTCGATAGTTGGATGCATAATCACAGCCGGCCAGCAGTAAGTTCAAGCCTTGCAGTTGCAATGAGACCACTCCGTCCATCGATCTATTTAGCTGTGTCCGTGCATTCCTTCATCGGTCGGTTTAGTGTACAGCGACTGGTACTTTCTTTCTCAACACCCGGAGGGGGTAGAGAGCGAGCGGGAGTAAAAGACAGAAGTGAACACGCAAGATGCGCCCTACACCCTAAACTCTAAAGCCTGAAGCCCCAAAGCCCATAACCGGTAAGGTCGTCGTTCCGCATTGGCAAGGCTCCCAATGGGGCAGGCCGGTCTTTGGCTGAGCGGTTGTCCAGGGTTTGCTGTTGTGGCGTCCAGGGTTCTGTGCCTTTGGAGCCTCCTCTTGCTGCGAGACTTCTATGCATGAGCTGAGATCTGGTCATGTCTGGGCTCTCGGGTGCACTTGCGCTCATCTAGAAGAACACCTTTCAGACGTTGTAAGTATTCATGAGACGAATCTTTAAATCCCACGTCACATACATATCACGCAACCGTCGCCTGACCAGGAAAGAGTTCCAAGGTTGCTTCATGGATTCCTCTTGGCAAGCCAATAAAACGTCTCGCGGCCATGTTGCTCTTGGAAGGTGATGGGTTCAGGAAGAACCCTATTCCAACTAAATATTAAGGCCCCTATACTACACCCTTATAGTAAGCCTTATAGAACCCGTCTAAGGATCTCTTTAAAGGAACCCTGGAGATCCCAGGACGTGTCCGAGTCATGTATCATAAGTAGGTAGAACATCAGTCATGCCAGCCCAGATTCCCCTGCTCGCCTTGTCTGGTAACTTTGGAGGATCTTCCGGGGGTTTGGATCAATGAACCAGAAGCCTGATTATTCAGGAATCCTAGTTTTTTTCGGGTTCTTTCTTCAAGTGGCACTGTTCTCTACGCCCAGAGCTCTATTCCAACTATACGGGCGCCTCTATTGACCAGTTCCTCTTGACGACTCTGAAGCTATGAACGCCATATTGACTATACTGTGCACCGCACTGTTTGCAAAGCCAAACGCCGAACCAGCACTGTAGGACGTACGCTAACTTGTAACCAATGACCAACAGCGGAAAATATTGGGCATGAATACATCTTGACGTAACCATTGATAAGCAAAGCGGAGAGCTCTTTTCGGTATACTATGTCTGCAAGCATGACACCTCGCGCCCTAGGCCCTAGGCCGGAAAACCGTTACAGGGACCCAGACAAAAACCCAAGCCCCGACATGGTATTCGTCCTTCCTGGCCTCGCTTGCAGGGCTGTTCCTCCTGCTTCGACGGCCTCGTTGCCGCCATCCCCGGGCAAAGGCACACCGGCTGGTTGGGGTTTGGGGGGTCGAAAGGTTTAGGAGGGCTGCGGATGTCGCTTTAGGGCCTATTCGGGGCGAGGCGACGTGCGATGAACTGTTCAACACCATGAAGTCGCTTGAGCTAAGTTGCTAGCGCGCATATCCTTCAGGCAGGGTCCGCAAAGCCATGCAGCCAGAAGTGACCATGAACCAGTTTGAGGTAACACAACTGTTCGGAAGCCCAGGGCTTCTACTTTAACCCTCGTGTGCCTCTACCGTGGAGTGACGACAATCATGCAGTTCTGCGTTGTCGTTTCCTAGTTTGCAGCAACTTTTGTGGGTACGGATGCTCGCATACAATCAACAAGTGCAAGTTTGTGTCGTACACCGGTTGCTGTACAATGCTAGTTTCGCAACCCCAGAAGTCAAACTGTTCTCGAAGCCTTTTAACTACATTCGCAACATCTCCATAGTTTTTAAATTGCGCTCTCATGGTTTACGCCTTGTTCTATTCATATGGCCCTTGATTACACCAGTATCCAGCTGGCCTTTGACTGCCATATAACCATGGAGCCCTAAACCCTAAACCATCGTTCCAGGAGGCTCTTCACGCAAGCTTCTAAACCCTAAACCCTAAACCCCTAAACCCTAAACCCTAAACCTCAAACCTCACAGCCCAAGCAGTACCGGCCCAAACTCCAAAGCCACGCTCCGGAGACTCCGAAACGGAGAGTAGAAATCCGAACGCCAAGCCTGAGACGTAACCTCTGCCACGGGTTTAGGGATTCAGGGGACTTGCTATTTCGAATGCCTGGGAGGGAGAGAGAGAGAGAGAGAGAGAGAGAGAGAGCAGCCCTCCGGGCGGGGGCTTGCCCTCAAGCCTTGTGAAAGAAAGAGAGAGAGAGAGAGAGAGAGAGAGAGAGAGCGGGGACTTGGTAAGATGGCTTACCGGCAGTCTGAGAAGTAGCACGGGCGCAGCTGAATATTTGTAGCATTTTTCGAAAGCTTTTTGCTAAGTAAACACCAAAGATGAAGATCAGCAAGAAAGGGCGAGCCTCTCCCCTGAACCTTAAACTGCTAAGTTCTTTCCCCAAAGCCCTCCTGAATCCTAAACCGCAGCTCCCGGCTGTCAGCTGTCCTCGCCTGGTACTTTAGGGGCCGAAATATTTCCCTATAGTTTTTTGAAGGTTCCTCATTTTGCCTATAGTATAATGGGCCCTGAAACCCTATTCTAATTGAGGGCCCCTGTGGTATCGCCGAGTCGCGAGTGGCAAAAGAGCCGCCGCTGCAGGCTCGTTCTTTACCCAGCCCCGGAGCCCACGCCCGTCGTGACCGCTGCCCGCACCGCGCCCGCGCCGGAGCCGGCCCCAGTTCACTTCTTGTATAATTAGGTTCTCATGTTTGATCTAGCTACAAGACGCTGTATCTTTTCATATGTATGTATATATATATATATGTAGAGATACACATCTATATCTATTGGTCGGTAGGTAGGTAGGTAGACAGGTAGATGGATAGATAGAGAGAAAGAAGAATAGATGGATTGGCGGATTTGTTTTGGTTTTGGCTTTTCGATTATGAGTTTTGTGTTTGTTTCAGCTTTTGGATTTTCCTGGGACGATTTCTTAATCGGGCACGTAGGGTGAGTAACATTTTTTCAATGGAGACTCTTATGTTTAGGGGACCACAGGTGCTGCAGGGACCCTGGCCGGGCGAGCAAACCCTACTCCCTACCCGAAAAAGGGGCTCGACGCCTTTGTAAAAGGGTTCATAGAGGACACGAGCGAGATTTTTTGAGCCTCCGAGTTGGACACTGCTCCGCTGAGTGCTGCAGCGGTGGCAACGACGACGACGACTACTACTACTACTACTACTATTTCTGCTGCTACTGCTCTTGCTACTGCTACTACTGCTGCTGCTATTGCTACTGGTACTGATGCTGCGACTGCTGCTGCTACTGCTACTGCTACTGCTACTGCTACTGCTGCTGCTGCTGCTGCTGCTCCTGCTACTACTACTACGACGACGACTACTACTACTGCTACTGCTACTGCTACTGCTGCTGCTACTGCTACTGCTGCTACTACTACTACTACTACTGCTACTACCACTACTACTACTACTACTACTACTACTACTACTACTACTACTACTACTAGTACTAGTACTAGTACTAGTACTAGTAGTAGTAGTAGTAGTAGTAGTAGTAGTAGTAGTAGTAGTAGTAGTAGTAGTAGTAGTAGTAGTAGTAGTAGTAGTAGTAGTAGTAGTACTAGTACGTACTACTACTGCTACCTGCTACTGCTACTGCTGCTACTGCTGCTGCTACTGCTAATACTAGTACTAGTACTAGTGCTACGGTGAATGGAGGAAATCTGGCACCACCTACACGCAGTGTTTCGAATACACATCCAAGCAACAACCCCGCGCCCCCTTTTTAACATTGACGACAGATCTCTTGGGGCGGTGCAAGATCTCTGTCATTGGAACGATTTTGCAAAACCCCATGTTCATAGCAATGTTAAGAAGGGGGCGAGGGGTGAAGCTACATAACATATCTGAAAAGCGGTGCAAGATTTCCTCCATCCACAGTAGTATTAGTATCAGTATTAGTATTAGTAATAGTATTAGTAATAGTACTAGTACTAGACTAGTAGTACTACTACTTCTACCACCATCACTACTACTACTACTACTACTACTACTACTACTACTACTACTACTACTACTACTACTACTACTACGACGTCGACGACGACGACTATTATTAATTACTTACTGCTTACCACTATTATTATTATTATTATTACTACTACTACTACTACAACTGCTACTACTACGTCTGACCTAAATAATCACGCGTGTAATCAATGAAAATTGGAAGTGAGTATGTGCTTGAAGACGGCATTTTGCTGACCAACTGCATGTCCACAAATTTGCAATTTCACAAGAGTTGGACCTAACGCCCTGCCACGTGTACTCAGCCAAGCAGGAGGCAAAATACTACTACTACTACTACTACTACTACTACTACTACTACTACTACTACTACTACTACTCCTGCTGCTGCTAATGGCTCGTAGTAGTGCTGGTTCTTGTGCTATTGCTGATGCTGGTAGCAGCTGTAGTAGGATAAGGTAGAGGGTTGGAAGTTGTAGTAGTAGTGCCACGACAACAACAACAACTGCTGTTGCTGCTGCCGCTACCATTTGCGCTGCCACTACCACCACCGCCACGACGACGACTGCTACTGATACTGTAGTGCTACTGTTACCGCTACTCCTACTGCTACTGCGGCCACGACCACGACCGCAGCTACTAATACTAGTACTAGTCTAATACTGTGACGACGGCTTCGCAGAAGGAGTGCCAGCGCCAGTCGCAAGACTTGGCTTTGCCAGCTGATGACAGGAAGGTTAGCAAAGCTGATCTGGCTTGTACTGAGGCGGCGCCTGGCGCCAAGCTGGCAGCCGCCCTTGCTGAGGCCCCCCAAGAGGCCTCCGACAGGGTTGTTCAGACGTAGATCGTCGGGCCCAGTAGTAGGAGCCTATGCTTTCCGAGTCGAGGCAAGATTCCTGGGTTCTTGTTAAGGAATCTAATTCAAGTTACTATAATAGGGATCAAAAGCAAGTACTATTGTTTCCTTATTATGGTAACTCAATTTAAATCCCTTACTAAGAACCTAGATTCAAGAGTTAGGAGTGAGGACTTCAGTGTAACGAGTTTCAAGGTTCCAGTTTCGGATGTCGTGGGTTTGCTTGTTACTTAGGCTGCATGTTTCGCCAGGCATGAGAGTTCTCGTAACGGCCGGTAGGGAGTGGAACCAGGCAATTTTTGGCGTCTCTTACCTTGGTTATATAATCCAATCATGGCGGGCCTTCTCGTACGCAAGTGTCGACTGGAAGGAACCGAACAACAGTTGTGCCACTGCTGCATGCACGCAGGATGTGCTCCCTGTGAACAATGGCTACACTGCATGCATGGGGCAAGCAGTGGCAGCATCTCGGCCTGACGTGAGGGGATTTGCGTGTTCTGAATTTTTCCCTGGTTTGATGGGTGGGCTGCGCTACTTTGTCGTCCTTGTGGCCTATCTCTTTAGGGTCTATATTGGCGCATTCTCAGGGTGCGTCTCGCTCGCTGCCATATCTTGAAATTGAGGCTGTTTCTGCCGAGTGCCTTTGCCCTTCCAGGTTTTGGTGAACAGCTTGTGTTCCTCACCCTTACACTGTACACAAGCCAACCGGTAAACCAGATGTCCGAAGCTCCTCGGTTTTCTACATGTCAGCAAGCTCCGGAATCGGGCCAAGGCTCCGGCACTCACAGGCAGAACCCCAAAACCCTATCGCCCAAGTCCCAAATACCCAGGAAACGGAGACAACGGTGGCTACGGTTCAGGAAGTTCCATGCGAACCGCAGGTGGTGGTAGAGGGCCTGGAGCTCAGGTTTCAGGGCCCGAAGCCCTAAACCCTAAACCCTAAAGCCCTTAAACCGGGGTTAAAGTTCTAGTAAAGTTCTAGTAAAGGGTTGTGCCAAGACACCACAGTGGATAGCTGCATCACAGTGAGAAACACCAATTGGGAACTTCAATACCTTGCACAGAATAGTCGCCAGGTGCTCTACTTAGCTTTGAAAGTATTGGTGTGGGTGTTGTTGTGCTCACGCCTGTTGGATCATGGTTGGCAGGGTGATGATTCGAGGGCGCTGGCGAGGAGACTGGTCTTGCGGTTTTGGACCTTAAACCCTAAACCCCAAAAAAACCAGATTTCAGTTGTTTTGGGCTTTAGGGGTTGGCGGTCTAGGAGTCTAGGATCGAGGGGCTAGATGGCGACGTCATCGAATGGGTCGTGGAGTGCCGAGGCACATTCGCAAAGTTGCATACCAAGCCAGCGATGATGGAGGACGGGGGTAGCTCTTCAGAGCAGTATGAGCAACTTGGGTTTTTGCCATGCGGATTGCATTGCTCTGCACACGACTGGACGCTACAGAGCAGCTTTGCATTACTTTGGCGGCATTCTTTGTGCTTCTCCGGCTTGCCGCTTGGCTCAGCTTCCATGATCAGGTGGTAGCTCGAAAGGGACAGGCCCGTGCACGAGAGTCAGAGAGAGTGCTCCGGGTCGATGCAATGACGAAGTTGAGCCTGGTCCTGAAGCAGGAGAATGCCCTAGCCGATGTTTGCCGTGCTCTACCCTCGGCATGGCCGAAACTCCGGAAGACCTCGAAGCTTTACATGTGGCGCTTGGATGAGCTGAAGCTGCACACCCTGCAGCAGATGCTCATCGAGGACCTGAACCTTGTCTTCGCTGATCTCTTCGAGCTTTGTGAACGCGGTGACTCCGAGTGCGTGTGGATTTTGCTCTCCCAGGGGATGCCGCTCGTCAGCTTGAGCGTGTGTTCTACGAGATATGCTCTGTGTCGGATGTGTGTGTGTGTGTGTGTGTGGGGTTGTGACAGAGCATTGGCAGTGCAGTCCTATCATGTCTGAACTTCATTTGGATATGCTTCTCACACTGGCGAGAAGCATGGCGTTCAAACTCGACCTGCAGGTGCAAACAACTTGTCACGTAATTGAACATCTGTCGGTGTCAGCAGCCCCTCATTCGCGCCTGTCCAGTGCCTGTTGTACACGTGAGCACGTATGCCTGGCGAGAAAACATCACTCAAGAACACCTGCAGAATTGACGGTGCACGTCGCTGGTTCCAGTGCTGTCCACCTCTTTAGTTGATTGAACCAAGTCCTGCCACAGAGCATCGCGTCGAGTGTGGGTTACGAATAGCTTGGCAAATACAATCGCGAAGAACGATCATTGGAATGCCTTAACGATCAGCTACATCACGTCAATTGAATACATTGCGGGGCATCGGGACAATTCAGGTGCAAAGACTGATGCGCATGCCGATCGCACGTGCTGCACCGCCGCAAACACCGCCACCGCCACCGCCACCGCCACCGCCACGACCACCACGACCACCACGACCACCACGACCACCACGACCACCACGACCACCACGACCACCACGACCACCACGACCACCACGACCACCACGACCACCACGACCACCACGACCACCACGACCACCACGACCACCACGACCACCACCACCCCACCGCCACCGCCGCCACAGCCAGCGCCAGCGTGCCGCCGCCTCCGCCGTGACTGCGGCGGCTTGAACTGCGAGAGCTGCTCCTACTACGACAGCGGCCATGAGCACACACGCAGATCTTACACTCTGAATGGACAAAGCTAGCTACTGGCTCTAGAACACCAGTACAGGTTCGAGTTCTTATCATCATCACGAGAACCAGTTGGAACTTGACAACAACCGCCAACACATCCGGAACATAGAATAGAAACAAAGACAACAAGTCGTTCTGCAGCACTAGTTATCGTCCTGGCTCTGCTATTGGTAATTGTGTAGGAGAGAGGGAGAGGGAGAGAGAGAGTGTGTGAGAGGGGTAAGAATCAACTCGACAACCCACCTGAATGCGAAAACCCCTGGCCGCTCGCAAGGAATCCGAAGCAGCGGGACCCGGAAGGAGCGACCTTGCTCCTGGGTTCTTGTTAAGGAGTTTACTTAAGTTACCATAATAAAGAAACCATAACTTACATATATATATATATATACATGTATGTATATCTGTCTATATACATATAATATATATATATATATATATATATATATATCCCTATTATGGACTTCAGAATAAAATTCCTTAGCAAGAACCCAGGCTCCAGAAGGCAACCCACAGCGGCTCCGTCACCATCTTAAGGCTCCTCGTCGAGAAGGGCGTCGTTTTGAATGCTAAAGGCTCCTACGGCTACACCCCGCTCCTTGGCTGTCGAAAGGCCAAAAGTGGGAGTTTCCGAAAATTAGAGGTACCTCATTTTGGGGGTCCTTGTCTACTATTTAGGGTATGATAAAAGGGTCCCATATTTCCGGAAACGCCCACATGTTTTTTTTTGCACTTGAAGTCGAAGAATGCAGAGCCTCTGAGACCGTTTCTGTCCGCCTTATGCTCCAGGCTCCACGAGGCCTGCTACCTGGGGAACCCCGAGGTGGGTGGTTGTCAAAATTATGGCCCCCTTTTTGGGTCCTTATAACATAGTACGGCACCTAGTATTAAGGGTACCCAAAAAAGGACCCTAATTTTGACAACCACTCAGGTGTGTGAGGTCCTTCTGAGTGTGAAGGCCAATGTAGATGCCTTGAGCAAGAACGGATCTACACCTCTATTGGTGGCAGCACGAGAAGGCCACAATGCAATTTGCGAGTCCCTCCTCAAGCATAACGCAGATGCGGACGATGGTGGCGACAAGGGATGGACGCCACTTTCCGTCGCAGCAGGTGAAGGTCACGTGAATGTTTGCGAGACCCTCCTCAAGTACAATGCCAATGTGCATGGCTTTGCGGCCGATGGCCGCTTCGAGCGAAGTGCTCTGCAGGAGGCCATCAGCGACCGAAGAAGAGTTTAAACCCTAAACCTAAACCTAAACCCAACACCATAAACCCTAAACCCCTAAAGATCCAAGGTGTTCACGGTTCGTTTTCACACCAGCGCATATGAATTGCAAAATCAAGCCAGGCCGCAGAACAGGGGCACGCCAACGTCGTTGGCCTCCTCCTGGAGTCCAAAGCGGATGTGCACCACACCTTTGATGCTGTTCCTGAATGATGCGTCGTTTTTTGCTTGGAGGCCCTTTTGACTTAGTAAGTAGGGTTAGTAAGGTGGGTTATGGGGATTATAATGGGGTTTCTAGGGGATACTAAGTAGACTTAGTGCCTCCAAGTGCTGGAGGTATATGGGATGGTAGGGTGGTTTAGGGCTTGGGTTTTTGGGGAGATGAGTGCTACCGGCATCGCTGGTTCTTCACTGCGACTCGCACTGTAAACCCGGTAACACCTCAGGAGGCAAAAAGGGCTCGAGAGTTTTAGGAGACAAAGCCGGGTCCGATCGCACGCATGCTGCTGTTTGTTTCATCTGTCTTGAAGACCATCAGGGAAGTTGTTGCAAACGGTATGTTTCGGATTTCTCAGGGATGTCTATGGTGTAAGTATGGCACCAAAATGCAACGGGGATTTTGGTCGCGAGGTCTAAAGGGATGGTGTTCGCTCTGTTGCTTGGCAGAGCACGGCAGCTACAGCTATCAAGCTGCAGCTGGGAGATAGGAGAGCGAAGCATACTAAGCCCTCTTCGCCCAGTCTGTCTCAGACGTCCCAAGCCACGAGTATTCCCTGTTGAACTTTACAAGTAGGTCCTAAGCCCTCTAAACCCGAAGGGCCCTCAGCTGGGATCCGAAAAGCCATGAAGCCTCCCAAGCAGAGCTCAAGTTTCGAGCCCGAGCCCGAAATGGGGGTTTCCGAAAACAGGGGACCCTAATAAAGTATCCTACATAGTAGGATCCTTATTATCCTTATTATAAGAACCCCAAAGTAAGGTACCCCTAATTTTCGGAAACCCCCAAATGCTGAGGATGAGGGTGGCGGGCAGAACCGGCGGTGGACGGCGGCAGAGTTGGCAGAGAGAGCAGGGCACAGCAAGATCGCGAACATGCTCATGTCCCAGGCCGGAGGCTTAGTATAGGGACCTGAATCATTGGAACAGACCTATACTACAAGCCCTAAAGCCCCAAACCCTTCAACTCCAAACCCTAAAGACCCTAAAGCTCATACTACCAACCCCACTGCAGGTGATGGCATCGAATTGTCTCCTCGCTGCGGTTCAGCTTAGAGGGTTCCAGTCCCTTCAGACCGGAGCAAAAGGGGTTTGTTGAATATTTAGCACTAGTGTTTTCGGCTTTCCTGAGTATAACACTAGTATTTCTTAGCGTTCCCGGATATACGTATAGGTAATAAGTCATAGTTACAGGCATAGAAAGTAGTATTCCTCGATTTGCTGACTTCCCTGCTACTTGTATGGTAACCCTTAGCTTACCTTTGGTTAGTAGGGAATGGAAGAATGGTAGTAATAGTAGTTATAATTGTACCCCCATTCCTCCACTCCCTACCAACCAAGGGTAACCCTTAAACCGTGGAACCTCCCTAAACCCTAAACCCTAAACCCCTAAACCCCTAAACCCACGCCTTGTTTTCTTTCGAGCAAAGCCTCCGGCTCAGGATTCCGACCCCTCTTCCAGGCGAGTTTGGGACGCCACCCAGCGGCTCAGATTACCTGTTCCTCGGCTCCCCCCAAAAATGGGAGTTTCCGAAAATAGGGGACCCTAGTATGGTACCCTACATAGTAGGATCCCTATTATAAGGAACCCCAAAATCAGGTACCCCTAATTTTCGGAAGCTCCCGAATCTAAAGCCGAGACTCCCAACCCCCTGCCTCAGTCATAATGGCATTCTGGCTCGGAAGGAAACGAGGCGTCAGACATAAGAGAGTCTTAGCCCTTAAGCCCTATTTCACCCCAAAAAACCTCCAAACTCTAAGCCCCACGCTTTAGGGGTTTAGGGTTTAGGGGTTTAGGGTTTAGGGTTGAGGGTTTTTCAACTCCTCCTTTCAAAGTCGAGGTTCACTTGCCGCTGGGCCGTTGCTTCCCTTCTTTGAGTGCTCCCTACAGGAAGGTGCCCTTCGATCTGGAGCCAGGGCCCAACCTGGCAGCCGAATCGAATAAGAACCGCCCAGGTATGATTCAAGGTTTGGGGTTCAGGGTTTAAGATTCATAGTCCCTTTATGCCTCTGCTTCATGTGCTGCAAAATCCTGTTCTCATTATATTAGCGCTACTTCTGAACTGAGCATCAGCATCTGCAAAGCCGCATAGCTAGTTCGTTATCAGTATTGCGTCAGCAGCAGAGATGTTGATACTCTTTATTAGTTTGCGTAATTGTAGATGAATTGTACCAGCACCAATAGAAGCCGTAGCTCTATTGATGTGCCTTCTGGCGATGCGCTAGATTTGTTATAGAATTGAATTATGCCTGTGTCTCACAATCCATAGCCCCATCCAGGCCCTAAGCGGTTCTGTAAGTTTCCTGCTCTTGTTTGCTGGGCACCGGCCTGTCGCTAAAACGTGTCACAGTCACGAAAGAAGTAGCAAGACCGCCTCGAGAAGGGACGAGAAAAGACGGCGCGCACTCCATGAGGCAGAGTTTCACGTGGCAGCTTCCGATGCTTTTCATGGTTCATATTGAGAATCCTGCAGGCTTTTGGAGTTTGCTTTTTATGTGCGTTTTGTCCTAATGCGAATTCTGCAGGCTTTTGGAGTTTCCATGTTATACGTGTTTTGATGCAGTTTTGGCGCCAGCTTTTCTCAGATACTGGGACCGTGGTGTTGTTCTGCAGCAACGTTTGAACGTGCGACCCGGTTATCGTCGTCGGTGTGAGAGAGAGGGAGAGCGACAGAGAATCAATCTACAGTAACAGGCACAGTCGTACGGTGAACTTACGAGGCACAGGGGGAGCAACCATAGCAAGTTTGTGTTTGCTAGTCTTGCAGCGCGGAGTCGTGGCAGTTTTACTTAGAATCACGTAGTGGTGTGATGACGAAGGGCTTTTATGCAAAGGCACCGTACGAAGGGTAGCAGGCCTGTACGTGTGCAGTGGTTTTTCGCACGACGTGGCAAGCACACATTTACCAGCTCTCAATTCAATGAGAAGGCATCTACCAAAACAGTAATGTTTAGGATAGCTTTGTAAGTTGAGTGGCATCATCCTGTTCGTAGATTTCGAAGGACGTGTCCTCCGACACGGACGCCTGGAGCCCAGTGATGCCTGGCAGGGCGCAGAGTGTAGAGTGCCGAAATAATATGGACGCCTGAGCAATTAAGGATGCTATTCCTTGGGGTTCTTCCACACATTTAGATCACAAGTAAAGGTAACCCCCAGTCTGTCACTGAAGGACCCCGTGCTTGCTGGTCCAGGATTTTTAAAGGACTGGACTGTGTTGCGACTATAAAAGTCCTCAACCTGAACCGCGGTCGCGTCCTGAACGCCAATGCCTTGTCTGAGCCTCTGCTTGAAGACGGCCAAGCCAGGCTCTTTTTCTGCCCAAGAGCCGAAACCCTAAACCCCTAAACCCTAAACCCCACATCCCTGAAACATAAACCCGAGTGAACGTCTTTGCTGTCTTAGCTCTGCAGGCTTCTCACTTTCGCCCCGAAGGTGAAGTGAATCATCCGAAGCCCGAAACCGGAAGGTTTGGGGTTTGCGGGTTTCGGGTCTTAGAGTGAGCAGCCGAAGGACCCTAATAGAGGAGCTTCATAATAACTATACTATTATGGGGGTTCCTGATTTTAAAGTAAAATGTAGAAAACTGTTCCGCAAAATCTTTTTCTATTTATTGTAAACCTTCAAATCCTCAGAAAGCACCCGAAAGCACTGCTGCCATGACCCAGGGTTCTGTGGAGCTCGAGACGCCTTCTGGAACCGTGCTTTGGCTTGGCGTTATCTTGCAGGAGCCTTTAAAGAGGGATGTTGACGGAAGAGGGCATAGGGTGCATGATGAACTAAACAGCCCCTAGACCAGTGAGTTTTCAAGCCACGCCAGACCCGGTGAAATCTTGATACAAAAGCCTCTACGAACTCCTGTAACACGTTACTTCAGTGTTTATAGTTCTGAAAAGGACACAGGGGAGGAGGAGGAGGAGGCTAGGGAGCAGAAGAGGCAGTACCTTCAGACTTCAAGCACCCCTGGGGTAAGGAATATACCAAGAAAAACATAAGGTACATTCCTTCAGACCTTAAGAAAAAGGGGCTTCGGAGTCTCTGAGTAGCGGTGGTTGTGTGTTGTTGGGTCGCAAATCGCAGGAGGAAGTGGTACTGCGACAGCAGCAATCAGGAGTAGTCGAGCTTGCCGTCGTCGGGGAGACCAGGTAACGCCAACGAGGATGATGGCGATTCTGTTGATTCTGCGGCTTAAGATGCGGGTGTCACAGTTACGTGAGCTGGCGATGATTTGAGTCTGAACGGAGAGTCGCGTAGGATCATAGGTGAAAATGGTGACGACAGCAGCTCAGGAGTAGGACCAAGGATGCCAAGGCCAACAGCAACAGCTACAACATGGGAGTTTCCGAAAATAGGGGTACCATATTTTGGGGTCCCTTATAATAAGGATCTTACTATTTAGGGTACTGTATTAGGGTCCCCTATTTTCGTAAACTCCCACATAATTGAAAGCAGGACTCAAAACGAAGCCAACATCAAGAGCACAAGCAGTACTCAATGCAGAGGCATGAGGCGCAACAAGCACAAAGAGCAACTGCAGCACCGCCGCAAGCGGGAATGGACACCCAGCGACTTCTGCTGCCCTAAACCCTAATCCATAAAAGCCTAAGCCCAGACGAGCTTTCGACTTATTGTACTGAGGCAACGACGGCTGAGCTGGGCCCGGATGGCCTGCCTTCCGTAGGCCCAGCAGCTTCTGAATTTCTTGCAGCAGTTGGCACTGCGGCGGTTATCCATCTATCTATATAGATGAATATGTGTATATATATACACACATACTTACATTGAAGCACATGCACACACATGCATACAGTATCATACAATGTGTTTTTGCAAGTGGGTCAGCGTTTCATTTGGCCGTAGCTTGGGCCTTCCCAGTGTTCTGTTTCCCTCTCTTAAGCAGGTTCTCTAACTCGAGTTGCCCCGGCCCCTCCCCCCAATGCATGCACGAAATCCTGCCCCGGTCATATCCTGGATGAGTGTACCGGCAGAAACACATCTGCATGCCTTTTGGGTGGTGTACCGCTGCATGAGGGCAGGTCGGGGAGGTGATAGCTCTCGACTGTGATGGGTGGTGGAACGCTTTAGTGGTCGCGGTTTGTATACTGCATTTCAACCATAGATCTGCCGCAGAGACGCTGCGAGCCACCTCCGACGACGAAAGCAACAACAGCAGCAGCGGCAACAACAACAACAACCCCCGCTGCTGCTGCTGTTGCTAATATTTACGACATTACGACGACTGCGGCCACGACTGCTGCTACTCTCACACTCTTGTCCTCAAACCCCAACCTTTTTGACCCTAGACTTTGATCAGTACGTAGTAGTTCTTCTGTAATGCTACAAGAGTTGGAAGGACTAGGACCATTAATAGCATCCCTTCTAGTTTGCTTATACTACACCAGAACTATCCCCAAAACCTATTGTAGACATTCTTAAACCCTAAACTCCTGAAACCCCCAAAACCCCAAAGACCCTTTCGATGAAAAAAGAAGCCCTTTTGAGGGGGAAAAAGAGGGGGGAAAAAGGCTCGTTTGAGATATAAAAACATTTTGAGAAGAAGCCCTAAACCCTAAACCCAAAAACCCTAAACCCTAAACCCGACTAATAGGTTGGGAGGAGCCAATGTGTTTTCGCCGGTACTGGAATCCTCGCTGTGGTTCGTCCGAGAGTGAGTGCTGAAACCCTAAACCCTTAACCCTAAACCCTAAACCCTTAACCCTAAACCCTAAACCCTAAAAACCCTAAGCCAAAGGCCCTTTTTGAGAGCCTCTCCGCCCGATGACAGGCTCCATCGGCCACGCGACTGGCCGCCCCGCCATCCTTAGAGCTCTCGACCTTGGGTCTTGAGGGGGACCCTTCTAACTTTAAATCTTTAAAGGGTTCCTTTGAAGGTTTAGGGTCTTGAGGGGGATCTTAAAAGGATCCTGAAAGGGGTGTTCTTAAATCCAGGGAATAGGGTTTATCGGGTTTAGGGAATACCTTCAAGCCTGCAGCAAAAGCGTTTAGGGAATAGGGTTTCAGGGTTTCGTGGTTTAGGGTTTTGGGAACAGGGTTTCAGGAGGGGAGCTCTTGTTATGGAACTTGGGGTCAAGATTTTATAGAGTTTTGCATTTGTCCGAAGCGTGCTCTCGCTAAGAACCTTCATATGTAGTTTACAGCTTGTTCTGCGCGTGTTTTGGGGTTCTGTTACGCGGCGTCATTGGTTTTTATAGGATGGAGCACGAGGGCCCCTAAACCCCTTAGCCCCTAAACCCTAAACCCCTAAACCTTAAACCGTGACACACAGAACTCAGTTGGTACATCTGACGAAACGCTCCGACCATGGCTGGGCTACATTTGGGGCTATGCGATTTGTTCAGCAATTTCTTGTATGCTGTGGTACCAAGAGATCCCAATACCCCTTAATATACCTTAAACCATAGTATTAAGGCCCTATAATTTCGGGTATATTCCTTAGTTAGGGGATATTGGGATTTCTGAGTAGTAGCAAGAGAACTAGCAGGCCGTCTCCATGGGCACAAACTGCAGTTGCAGCAGCCGCACGGTTGATGATATAAATCCTGCATTACCCATAATAAGGAATATGCCATAATTCCCATAGTTTAGGGTCCTTAAGGTAGTGCAAGATTTATATCATCAACCGTAGTGTCCGGGCTCCTTGCCCCACCATCACGTCTCGAGGAGAGACAGAGGGTTCAACTAATCCTCTGCTTGATTATCCAAAAGCTTCGACCCAAACCCCAAAACCCTCAACCCTAAACCGTGTGAGCGCCGAAACCCCTAAACACCCTAAAACCTAAACCCTAAACCCCTAAACCCCAAACCCCAAAACCCTAAACCCTACACCCCAAACCCTTTTCCGGTCGCCAGGGGACTGCAAGCGCTGCTGCTTTCATCCCAAGGGTCGGTGCCAGAACGGCCATGACTGCAGGCTCCTTCCGCATCTTCACGGTTTAGGGGTGTAGTATAGAGACCTTAATAATTACCTATGCTATTTTGGTGGTTCCTTGTTGTAAGTATGGTATAATGGGCCCGAATATTAATTGCTCGACAGCAACATCAAGCACAATGCGAATCTTTGCAATTTGACCCTTGGCGAAAAATCTGACCATTAAGGTCCTTATCTTTCTTGGCGTCCCTGTAGCCGATTGAGTGCCTGCCTCCGATGCTTACGATTGCTGTAGGGTGAGCTACCTGCTGGCAGACTCCGGAATTGGCAGGACCTTCGGGATGTCGCGTCGCCAGGAGAAGTCTCTTGCTATTTTTGTTAATAAGTTATTAAGGTTATTATGATTATTATTGTCATTGTAATTGCTATTAGCATTGTTCTATGTTGTTATGTTACTATCATTATTTCCATGTGGATAGGTTCAAGAGACTCGTGCCAAGTGATGCACACCTTTGTCAGGTTCTGTCATTTTGACCACGACAAGCGCCGTCGTGCAGGCTGGTGCTTGGCCCGTAAGTCTTCTATATGGGAGTTTCCGAAAATAGGGGACCCCAATATAGTACCCTAAATAGTAAGATCCTTGTTGAAAGGGCCCCAAAATGAGGTACCCCTAATTTTCGGAAACTCTAAACCCTAAACCCTTTATAGAACCCTTGTAGATCCCTTTCAGGAGCCCTTTAAGGATCCTTATGATCAAGGCAGCTGGCTTTAACGGCATTTAGTGACACCGAGATCCAGGTCCATCGCAAGTCGGCCCGCATGCAGGTGTCAAGAAGAAGGGCAGTCGGCAGCTGTCCCCGGACAGCAGCATGACAGGCGGGAGCTACTTAAAGGATCATTCAGGGGACATAGTAAGTAAGGTTATACATAAGGTAACTGTACTTAGTACTACTTATAACCCCAAGTAATGTACCTATAACCTCACTTACTAAGTCCCAGGATCCTCCAAATAGTGAGGTCCGGAAAGACAGGGGGGGGACCCGACACCCAGACCTCCAGGCGCAAGAGTTGCCTCCTTGGGAATTTCCGAAAATAAGGGGTACCTTCGTATAATAGGGATCCTACTATTTAGGGTGCTATTTGAGGGTCCCCTATTTTCGGAAACTCCCCCTTGGCGCTCCCCTACTCCTCAACCTTCAGCTCTTAAGCTTTGGATGATTCCTCGGACGACCTCAGACTCCCATGTTGCAACTCCTCCGGCACACGCGCGAAAGCTGCCGAATTTTCCGAATCCGGTGCTAGAGAGAGGTAGTCAACCAGGGTACCGGCAATCCCTAAACCCTAAAACTTAAACCCTAAACCCTAAAACTTAATCCCTAAACCCTAAACCCCAAAACTGAAACCCTAAACCCTAAACCCTAGAAGATGCTGCCCGCACAGGCTCAGGCGATGGCACCTCCCCAGTCTTAACTCCGGCCATGGGGTGACACCGGCCGAAGGTTAAGGGGTTCGTCAGAGGGTTTCTGGGCCCGAGCTAGGGGTTTATAGAAATTGTTAAGGGTTTGGGTGCCAAAAACGTTTTCGACGAAACGTTTTCAACGAAACGTTTTCAACGAAACTTTTCAGCGAAACTTTTCAGCGAAACTTTTCAACGAAAGTTTTTCCTTTTGAACCCACACCTGAGTTTGGGGGGGGGGGGAGGGGGCCAAAAATGCGTGCTTTTCAGCGAAACGTTTTTCGTTTTGGAACCACTTAGGCTTGGGGGCTGGGACTGACTGGCTGCTGGATTGCGCTGTTTGCTGGGGCTGCTGGGACGGCTGGGGCTGCTGGGGCTCAAACCCTAAACCCTAACTCCGAACCATCAATAGAAATTGGTCGAATGCATGGAAGCATTCGAGACTGCTTGGGATTTTCAAAAAAAAAGCTTTGTCGGAAGATGTTGTGAGGTCGCTTAACGACATATAAAGGGGGCCTTGACAAAAAAGAGAGGGTCAGCCTTGCGAGAAAGCGAGGCCCTGACTGGAGCGGGTTCCCGGCCTGGGCGTGCTCAGGTCCCCGCCGCCTTGCATTACGGGATGATCAAGCACGACAGGCGCGCAAAACAACTTCAACTTGCTTGATGCTTGGGACTTCCGACTGGCAGGCCGGGGGCACGTTATGAGCTGGCAGAGGCGATCCAATGCCGCGGATTCCTTTACTGCCACAAAACCGGTGAGTCGATGCTGGCATCGGCCTCACCCCAGTTGCGCGCAAGGCACTCCGGCAGCATTTCGAAACCAATTCGCCTGTGAGGTCAAAGGAATGATCGTGGTGAACGATACCCTCGGCGACAAGCTCGTGCTGTCGGAGTCATGCGTCAAAGTTCGAGCTCCAGGCTTGCGTTAGTCTTGCAGACATGTGATTCTTGCCAGCTCGGGAGTATAGCCCGCGCGGCCTACGATGCTCCCAAACAATACGATGCCCAGGACTGGTCGAACTTGCAAGAAAGAGCGAGCCAGCGAGAGAGAGAGAGAGAGAGCGAGTGAGAGAGAGTGAGAGTCAGTGAGTGTGTTGGAGGCGTCGCTTGGACGAGAATGCCTGATTCAAGCAGGGCTGAGCAAGGCCAGTGAGCGCTTTTCGTCCTACGCGAAAGAGCTCCTAGCTCCAACTCTCACCTTGAAAGGCAGTAAGCCATGGGAAGGCCGAAACTTGTTGTCGCCGCCCATTGTTCTTGGTGAGATTTTCATGCCCTGCTCGGAGTTGAAGATGAGTTCAGAAGCTGCCGAACTTATCGGCGTCGAGCTACGCAAAGCCCGCAATCTTCACATCGAGTGTTCTCCCACAAGTGTACGCACGGTCTGCCGAGAGGTGGCGTGCCTGTTGCAGCACCGGTGGGGAAGTAGGTTCTGGCCTCTGCTGGCCGCCGGGGATGTTGATGGGTTGACTGCAGAGGCCCGAGCTATACGCTGGCCCAAACCCGTCAACTCTCTTTCCACCCTGTACAGGCTGCCGCTACCATGATTCACACTCCCAGCTGGCAAAAAAGGGCTCATGTTCCAGACGATCTGCCTCCACGTTGGAAACTTCAGCCTTTGAACGTGAAGCACGCTTTGGGTCAAATAGCTAGATATTCTTGGGCCCTATTTTCTTTTGTAGGCTACTTCTTCCAGACTTTAAAGCTTCACTGAAGCAGCCAAAAGACCGATTCAACCCGCCGGATAAAGGATTGCACAGCCCACGAAAGCCTTGAAATAGAAACTGAGATCCTGGGCGCTGAACCATACGAACCCGAAGCCCGCATAACAAACTTTGCAAGCAACCGCTTTCCTGTTTGCCAGGGCTAAGCAAAAGCTGTTGGGGGAAGTGTGGGGGGGTGGGGAGGGGTGGGAGGGGGGTGGGGGGGAATGGGAGGAGGGGGTGGGGCTTAGGCTGTGGGCGCTGGGCTGGATGGCTCCCAAACAGAGTTTTTGGTTTTAGCCGGTTTTTTGCGTTTTCCAGGCCTTCTCCAAGCCACCAAACTGGGTTTTTGGCTTTTTCCAATCCCCTCCAAGCCAACAAATTGGCTTTTTCCAAGCACCAAATTTGGTTTGCTTTCCAGGTCCCTCCAACACCCGAACTGGATTTTTGGCTTTTCCAAGTGTACGGGTTTTGCTCCTTTTCCAGGCACCTCCAAGCTTTCAGATTGGGTTTTTTGCTTTTTCCAAGCCCCTAAACCCCAAAATTGGCCAGGCCCCCTGCAAACCCGGGTTTTCTGCCTTTTCCAGGCCCTCCAAGCCCCCAAACTGGGTTTTTGGCCAAGCACCCAAATTGGTTTTTTGGCTTTTTCCAAACCCCCTCCAAGCTTCAAACTGTGCTGATTTTGAGCTGGGGGGGCTGGGGGCTGGGGGAATTTGGGTTTTTGAAGGCTCGGGGCTGGGATTGGGGGCTGTTTTGGTTTTGGGACTTATTCAGGGCTGGGCGGGCAACCCGAAAGGCCTGGCAGGGCGGTTAAGGGGCTGGCCCGGCAGCCTTCCCGAAATTGGCCGGCCCGGGGTTGGCCGGGCCCGAAGGTCGGTGGCCCGGGGTGGGGCACCGGGGCGGGGGCTTTCGGCGTGTCTGTTTTTTGTAAGGAGCCGGGAGGGGGTGGAGAAATTGGTTTATCAAGAAGCTTATTTCGTTACTAAGCTCCAGCTCAAGTTTGGCCGACATTGAAGAAACGGTTGGGACGTGGCCGACGCACGCACTACCGTGAAAACTTTTATCATTTCCAACTTCATTGTGATTTTGGGTTTGGGGTGCTGGGCCGCAGCTGCGGTTACAAACAAAGACAAGCAATTTCTATTTATCACTTTCTTGAGGGTTTAGGGTTCAGGGTTTAGGGTTTAGGGCCTTAATATAGCTATTAATATGCCCGAGTTAGAGATTTATCAAAGCGCGCTGACTTTTTATTCCTGAATTAAATCAAAACGGAGCATGCCGCAAGGGGGATCCTGAAAGGCGGTAGAGGTTGCTTTGTGCGGTCGCACTTTCGAAACTTGTACGTAATTACCAGAACTGCGTAAGATTGCGTGCAAGCTTCTTGAGATCCGAGGTTCTCCTCATGTTAGGGGCGTTTGATGAGCTTCGGCTTTGCTTTTGTTCTTGTTGGTGGTTGGATTTGGCCTGGAGCTCAGATTGCTGGTCCGAGAGTCGAGTTTCAGTTTGCCGCCTGCGAGCAGTGAGCTTCAACTGGCGAGCGCAAGCCCTAGAAGACTCATGTAGTATAACTGATGATCGTATAGTATAGTATAGTATAGTATACTCGAGTATAGCATATAGTATAGCGTAGTATGTTATAGTATATTATACAATCTATTATAATGGAGGACTCAAATCACGATCTCCACGGCCAGGCAGCAGCCCATGGCCTTGATCCCTGGCCCGCAGGCATCCAATCCAACGCAGGTTTTTTTATTTTTTTTTTCTGTGCAGGGTTCTGATCGGACCTAGTTGTGGACGTGGTATATTGCTTTTCCAAGGCTTTGGTTGGTCGGTTGGGTGGGTGGGGTTTGTGGGTTGGTTGAGGTCAGCTAGGGCTTCGTGCTTGCCAAAGCAGACTTTCGTTTCCGTCTCTGTGTGTGTGTGTGTGTGCGTGAGTGCGTTGGTTTTGCAGGAAAACTCCAAACCCAAAGCCTGGAACCCTAAACCCTTGAGCCTAAATCCTCCACGTTTAATCCTAGAATCCAAAACCACCCAAACCCCTAAACCCCTGTGTTTCACCTCAACCGACCACGAACCAATATCCTCGCCTGGCCAGTCCGAGTGTGAGCGCCGAAGCCCAGAACCTACAGCAGATTTGAGTGCAGGCGCCGTGCCAGCAAATGCAGTGCATGCAGGGCGCACTGCCTCCAGTGGCACGTGCCTCAAGAGCTGTCGCTGTCTTCATGATCATCATGATCTCAAGGTGTGAGGATTATAGGGTTGCTTAAAGGTTTCCTTTGAGGGATCTACGAGGTTCAATATGGGTTCTACTAGTGATCATGACTACAGGGATCGGTCTGAACTTCTCTAGAGCGCTCAGGCAGATTGGGTGAGCCCCCATTGAAGGCTCAGGGGTGTTGCGTGTAGGATTTCGTAGACTACAGGTGCTCGTGTGACTATCGGTACTAGTGTGTGGGGGTGAACCTGAACCGAAATCCACCCCATGTAATCTGCAAGCCCTAAACTCAAAATTCGAACTACCGGCAGTCTTTCAATCAGCCTTCCCCCCGTCGAGGTGAACATGAACCCATATGATGTTCCACCGCCACACGTCGAGGCAGAGTAGGTTTACGTTTAGGAATGGGGCCAGGGCTAGGGCAGTTCTGGCTGCAATGCATTGTTCGGATATTTGTCTAGCCTCTGACTTCGGAAGGCTATGACTTCTTCCATGGTAGGGAAGATGCCCATGGTCTCTTCGCACAGCTTCTGCGCATGCGAGTGACCTTACATGTATAGCGAGTGCAAGCAGAGCCTTTTTCGTGATCTGACTTCCTGAGCCCCGGACTGAACCACCTCCCTTGAAGAAGCCCCACCCTGTCCACCCTCAAACCCTAAACCCTTTTCAGTAGTGGAGATACGATGGACTAATTTGGAGCCTTGCCTTGTGCGAGTGCGAGCGTCGAAACCCCTTTCAGGCACCCATGTCCATGGGCTGCATGGACGAGCAGGCAGACCATGCTAAACCCTAAACCCTAAACTGGTTCCCCACCTCCTTTCGCGTGTTTGAAGATTTGGCAGCAAGAGACCCCAGCAGAGCCTTAGCTACGAGGATCCTGGCATATGCTGACCATAGGACCATAAGTGCCCAAAAGGCCCAAAAGAGGAAACCCTCAGTTGATGAATGCCCCCCCATATTGGGAAGTTAGAGCGAGAGAGAGAGAGAGCGACGGAGAGAGAGATTGGGAAGTGGGAGATTCGGGGCTGGGAGGGTGGGGGTTTCAGACAAATTCCCTTGTTGGGAGTCGGTTCTTGGTAATGCCGGCCTAGTAGCGCAGCGGAACCCAAAGGGGCCTTCGCCAACAAAGGATGGAGGTCGTGCAGTCAAAGAAGCAGTCATAAGAAGCCTAAACCACTAAACCCTAGATTCCTACACCCTTAAACCCCAAAACCTCTGAACTCCTAAACCCCCTAGACCCTGAAACCCTGAGATCCTTGGATGCATCTGGCCCGGATCGTCCGCAGTGACTGCTTGCATAAACCCTTAAACCCTTAAACCTCTACTCCGAGTGTGCGGGCCGACGCCCCTACTTGGAGGTGGGGGACTTAGTAAGTGGTTATTTTAAGGGCTTATAAGTACCATAACCCCAATTAGGGTCCCTTTTAGGGTACTTATAAGTCTACTTACTACCTACTTACTAAGTCCCCCGACCCTCCAAGTACGCCCCCAAACCAGCCAGACGGAGTGTCTTTTGGGAACCGGCAGGTGGGCTTTGCGCCGGCGATGATGCAAAACGCCTGGGCCTCGAAGTGCCCACGCCCTCCCTCAGCGTAGCAGAGAGATCTTAGTGAATGTAATGGTTGCTAGTACTATTTTTTGCGCTTATTAATTTGTTATCATGATTACTAGTACTATTCCTTGTGGCTTAGTATGAGAACAGTGATTATAGGTACTATTCGTTGGGTTTCTTGTTGTAATTATGGTGTACAGTGAATCCCGGAAAGTGGAGTTTGTTTTAAGGCTGATGAGCATACTTCAAAAGCGTAAGGAGAATGAAGCCCTGACTGGTCTTCGACGCATATCGTTGCACGACGTAACCCGCCACAGCCGAATCTGCTCTTGAGAGCAAGTCGATGCCGACTGGTCTGGAAGCGTCGGTAGTACCGCCGGAAGTGCTGGTGTGTTATTGCAAGCTCGTGCTTAGGTCATGCAGCCCCATGAAGCCTATTGAAGTCATGATTCAGCCCTCTGTATCACCTCAAAAGGCTTCGCTCTCTAAAGTTTCTCTGCCTCCCTCTCCTTGCCAGGACTATGGCGGTATGCCAATGTGGCAACCGGACCACATGCCGACGCCCAAGGTAGACTTGCAACAGTAAGGTCATAGATTGACTTTTCGACCACTGGCTGTGTTTTCCGAGGAAGCTCTCGTTTAAACGCTTCAGTTCTACCAACACCCAGGCCGCAGCTCGCAAACTTTGACTTCTAAAGCTCTTACTTGATTTAGCGGCACCTAAACCCCCGCCCCACAGTCAATCTTCTGGATTCTAGACTAGACCGCTGCTTCCTTAGTGCTTTGTGATCCTTACAAGATCTGTTGGAACGGTGGGGTCGGTTGCACTTCCCGTTCGGTTCTTCAGATCGCTCACAACAAGCAGTTCTGGTTGTGTCCTTCTTCTTGTTACGTTGTCTGAGTATTGTTGGTGTATCAGTACGGTACAGTCTTAGTGACTAAGCTTCAACACTATCAGTCGCCTGGCGAGGTCTCCCACAGCCGAAATATGCGTCAATAATATCACTAAAACGTTAAACCTTTAAACCTGAGCAAGAAGCTTGAAAAGCCTCTCAAGGCGTGTACCATGCTTGGTGACAGCATGAAAAAACCCAAACTCGACAACCTCGGCTTTGAGCTCCCGGTGAGCTCTTCTTTAAGGGGTTCGGTCTCTTACTTACAGGACATGCGGCCTCCGTGGGCCAGTTTGGGTTCCTCCAAACCACAACCCTTAACCCTAATCCTCCAAAACCCAGCTGATTCTCGGCAACTCGAGGCAATTCCCGCCACTGTCGACAGCACCGCAAGGCCCCCTCCTAGCTTTCTTGGTTTTTGCTGTGTTACTCCGCCGTTTCATTGGGGTAAGACTTAGTAAGACTACAGACAACAGCCAAGGACATGAACAATCGAGAGAGATCTCCGTGACATGCGCGGGTCGTGCTACAAACATTCCGACTTTCCAGAGCGCGGTGATGATCAAATACGACTGCAACAGGAAACTTAAGGAGAACCTTCACCGGCAAAGATGACACACCCTCATGTACTACCCAATCTACGAGCAGGATGCTTTCCAACTACTGTAGTTAGAGCTGGAGAGCCAAGAAGCCGCTTGGATGGTAAGTTTCCAGAACCACGGATCGGATAACCTGATAACCACGGGCCCTGCACGTCCACGTTCTCACCCAGTAGTGCTACACTACGGCAGAACTAAACCCAGTAACAGAGCCGCTAAACTTAAAAATGCCCTCGTGCGGGGGGTTTCCGGGTTTCGGCCTTTGGCATGTAGGTCAACCCTACACCCTACACCCTTTCGTTTAAGGATACCTCTGGCAACACCCCTACACATGAAGCCCTGTAGTTCCGTCTTTATGGGGCAAGTTGGGCTCTCTAGGATGATGTTTTGGATGCTTTTTTTTTTTTTTTAAATCTGTTGTTTACCTGTGCCCAAAAGTCCTTGAGCAAAACCCTAATCCTAATGCCCCAAGAGCCCTTCGGGGATCACCCGATAAAATTGTAACGATACAGAGAAGACTAGCATGGTCCCTGCGCAAGGATGACGCGCGCAAAACGAGAAGTGTATCAAAAATGCGCAAGAACTGTCAACTCCTGAAACCATAGACTCCACTATGTTGGGCGGAGCTGCCAGAGGTGTGCCAGGTGGGTGACAAACTATGTTGGGTAGTCCTAGAAATACATAAGCAATTATATATAAGTCAACAAATGCATATATATATATATATATATATATATATATATTATACATACATAGCCCTAGAGCCTAAACTCTGCAGGCCCTGGCCCTAGACCCTAATCTACAAGCGTGAATAAGTGACTAAGTCGTTATGCTGTTCCTGAGGCTTCCTTATTTATGATGGTCGCAGACATCGTCGAAACTGCCAGAAAACGCACAGGGTCGGGTGGTTGCAGGCCGTGTACGAAAGAGCCTTAGCATGCATATAGGCCAAAAGGACCCCTTCCGCCTTATCCTTGCTAGTAGAGCCCCTATCCCTGACCCTAAACCCTACAATCTAAACCCAAAACCCCCAAACCCTAACCTGCCCTAGACCCGGCCCTAAACCGTACGCTGGGCTCTTTGGGAAGTCGGTCAGGCCCAGGATTCCACCCGGGCTGGGGACCGCCAAATTTTTTCGCGCCTCGGAGTTTTATTGTTTAGGGCAGAGTTTGAGTTCAAGAAAGGGTTTAGGGTCACCCCATGCGAAACGCAGGTGAGCTTTGGCAGCGGAAGGCTTTTTTTGTGTTTTTTTTGTAGGTTGGGTTTTGGGGCTTTTGGTTTGGTGAGACGTGGGGTGTAGGGTTCAGCTTCGGAGTTTTCGTTTGCTCTCTGAGCGGTCTGAGCTTAAAAGGTGAAAGCGCCGAAGGCTCGAGACGTTCACGGTACACTTCGTAGGATGCCGAGTAGTACCCTTATTCCCTTTTTGTAGTCCTAGGTTCCTTATCAAGTTTCCCAATACCAAAAAGAGAGGCCTTTTTATTCTTAGGTTACTGGTGGGTATCCTAGCTTCAAGGGACCTCGGTGCTTGTCGCCTGGTCGAGCCCAGGTGTGGTTATACCCCTGGCAATCAAAGAAGAGAGAGAGAGAGAGAGAGAGAGAGAGAGAGATTCGAAGAGGCATGTCAGGCCGGAACAAGCAAGAGAGTGGGTTAGGTCAGGGCCTTGCAGCTTAGACTAAGGCCGCAATTGGAGTGAGGGATCATACTAGGGCGGGGCAGGGTGGCCTGCTTGGTTCGTACGCCGGGATTTGAAGCTACAACATCTAACATAATTTGGGGTTCGAAACAGTACTTTAGGGATATTGGTTGTGCTTTAGGTTGACTATCCGTGTCTGGGGGGGGGGCGGGACGGCCGCAATATTTGTGCCTTGGAAATGCTGCTTAATGTATGGCAGTGACTGAAGTGACTGACAGAAGTAGTGACTGAAACCTGAAAGAAGTACACGTGCTTGACTTGATCTATGCGTTGCACCCTTAAATTGCCCTGGTCGCCCATGTTACCTCATCGTCGAGATGGACACCACGGTGGCCACGACCCCAGATCACCTTCAGTGCTGCAGTTGCAGGCGGCCTCACTCCACTCTGATGTGAGGCCTGCATCGTTCAGACGGCCGTGACTGTGATTGCCAGGGCCTCAGTCAGTGCCTCATTGTGCCTCATTGTAAAGACTTAAGTAAGATACCCTAAAGTACTTTTAAACCCTAAACCCCTAAAAGACGCGTCCGCACTCGCGTCCGCGCTCGCACGCGAGCGCTCGCGTCCGCACTCAACCGGTTGTGGCTTCGGCCCCCGGTCTTTACCGTTGTGGCTTCGGCCCGCGGTCCACCGGTGTGGCTTCGGCCCCCGGTGTTACCGGTGTGGCTTCGGCCCCCGGTCCACCGGTGTGGCTTCGGCCCCCGGTTTTACCGGTGTGGCTTCGGCCCCCGGTCTTACCGGTGTGGCTTCGGCCCCCGGTCCACCGTTGTGGCTTCGGCCCGCGGTCCACCGGTGTGGCCTCGCCCCCCGGTCTTACCGGTGTGGCTTCGGCCCCCGGTCTTATTACCGGTGTGGCTTCGGCCCCCGGTCTTATTACCGGTGTGGCTTCGGCCCCCGGTCCTACCGGTGTGGCTTCGGCCCCCGGTTTTATTACCGTTGTGGCTTCGGCCCGCGGTCCACCGGTGCGGCTTCGACCCCCGGGTTTATCGGTGTGGCTTCGGCCCCCGGTCATACCGGTGTGGTTTCGGCCCCCGGTCCAGCGGTGTGGCTTCGGCCCCCAGTTTTACCGGTGTGGCTTCGGCCCCCAGTTTTACCGGTGTGGCTTCGGCCCCCGGTTGTACCGGTGAGGCTTCGGCCCCCGGTTGTACTGGTGAGGCTTCGGCCCCCGGTCGTACTGGTGAGGCTTCGGCCCCCGGTTTTGCCGGTATGGCTTCCCAGCCACCGGTCACACGAGTAGTAGAAGTAGTAGTAGTAGTAGTAGTAGTAGTAGTAGTAGTAGTAGTAGTAGTAGTAGTAGTAGTAGTAGTAGTAGTAGTAGTAGTAGTAGTAGTAGTAGTAGTAGTAGTAGTAGTAGTAGTAGTAGTAGTAGTAGTAGTAGTAGTAGTAGTAGTAGTAGTAGTAGTAGTAGTAGTAGTAGTAGTAGTAGTAGTAGTAGTAGTAGTAGTAGTAGTAGTAGTAGTAGTAGTAGTAGTAGTAGTAGTAGTAGTAGTAGTAGTAGTAGTAGTAGTAGTAGTAGTAGTAGTAGTAGTAGTAGTAGTAGTAGTAGTAGTAGTAGTAGTAGTAGTAGTAGTAGTAGTAGTAGTAGTAGTAGTAGTAGTAGTAGTAGTAGTAGTAGTAGTAGTAGTAGTAGTAGTAGTAGTAGTAGTAGTAGTAGTAGTAGTAGTAGTAGTAGTAGTAGTAGTAGTAGTAGTAGTAGTAGTAGTAGTAGTAGTAGTAGTAGTAGTAGTAGTAGTAGTAGTAGTAGTAGTAGTAGTAGTAGTAGTAGTAGTAGTAGTAGTAGTAGTAGTAGTAGTAGTAGTAGTAGTAGTAGTAGTAGTAGTAGTAGTAGTAGTAGTAGTTGTAGTACTTGTAATACTTGTAGTACTGTAGTACTTGTAGTACTTGTAGTACTTGTAGTACTTGTAGTACTTGTAGTACTTGTAGTACTTGTAGTACTTGTAGTAGTTGTCGTGGTCGCCGTAGTCGTGGTAATCGTAGTCGTCAGTCGTAATAGCAATCGTAGTAGTAGTCGTGGTAGTAGTCGTAGTAGTAGGAGTAGTAATAGTAGTAGTAGTAGTAGTAGTAGTAGTAGTAGTAGTAGTAGTAGTAGTAGTAGTAAGTAGTAGCAGCAGTAGTAGTAGTAGTAGTAGTAGTAGTAGTACTAGTAGTAGTAGTAGTAGTAGTAGTAGTAGTAGTAGTAGTAGTAGTAGCAGTAGTAGTAGTGGTATTAGGTGTAGTAGTATTATCAGCAGCAGAACCTTTGTTTAATTTTAAGATCACCATGAACATCTTAAGTCTGAAACCCGAGGCTTAAGTCAAGTCCTCAGTTTCAGTAATTATTTTAACCCTAACCAACTAAATCCTGAAGCAGGGATGCCGGTGGCTCAATAAGAACTGTTTGCTGCAATTAGCTTCATCGCTCCTGGCATTTCGAGGCCTTCATCCCTGTCAACAGTGGCTTTGGAGGACGGCTGCATGCAGAGGGCTCAATCGTAAATAGAACTCCTGCCTTTCGCGAGGTCTGAAGATCTTTTTCGTCGTCGACGGCTGTGACTGTGTGCAGAGGCGCAGAGTGCACCTTCATCGAGTGTCTCAGTGTCGTCACAGTCACAGTGCCAAGAGCAACTTCGAATTGCCGTCAGTGACTTCAGTGTTCAAGCCCGATTTGTGTCACAGCGTCATGAACAACTAGACGTGAATGTAGTAGTGCCCAAGCCCAGACAACCGTAAGCTATCCGAGTGCTTACTTAATTAACACGTTTGTCAAGCTCGTGCCCTGCCAGCCATGACCCGCTTCCAGCAGAAGCAGAAGCAAAAGGAGAAGGAGGCCGCGGCTGCAGCCGCGGCGGAGGCGGAGGTACGGGAATCGGAGGAATCGGGGGCGAAGGCATCGGCTTCCACAGCTCCTAGAAGACTGCAGCCAACTTCAAAAGCTGTGCCTCGTCCTGTGGCTGCTGGAACCCGCCGAGTGCCTGACGCAGGACCTGAAGTTATGAAGAGAATTCACTTTAAAGGGGAATGCAGGCTTTGGGGTTAAGGCTTATTAATTTTAGTATTGACCTGTTTGTGTTTATTAAAATTCACAGACCAGCAGCAGGAGACGGAGAAGAAGAACTCAGCAACAAGCAGCGCAAGGTGCTGTGGAATAATAAAAGAAGGTTGGCCGGTGGCGGTGGTGCCTCGTCGACACGGGCAGCGCCCAAGGCCAGGCCTGTGGCTGTGGCCGCGGAGGTGCATGCGCCTGCTGAGCCTCATGCAGTGCCTGCTGTGCCTGCGGTGCCTGCGGTGTCTGCGGTGCCTGCTCCACCGCCGATGGAAACAGCACAGGCACTCGCCACTTGGGTATTTATTGCCTGGTGTTGTTTTTTTTGATTTGGGTTTGAGAAATCAGTCAGTAGTGGGAGATAAGTTCTTGTTGTTTGTATTTATGTCCAAAGGAAGCCATGGCTGCGACCATCATGCGGACAGTCAATGAGAATATCAATCTCAAAGACACCCGCGCGGTGGCTACGGCACAGACATTCTTGATGCATCAGGTGGCTGAGGGGAAGCTGGCGCGTTCTACAGCAGACGAAATGCTAAAGTTCTGGCAGACAGGTGAGTATGAATGCCGTCTTCGAGGTCCGGGTGGTGGTACTGGGTCTAGTGCCTCTTCACAGCCTCCAGGTCCAGTGCCTGGAGTGCCTGGAGTGCCTGGAGTGCCTGGAGTGCCTGGAGTGCATCAGTGCCTGTGTCTCCTGGTTCGTGCCTTGCGACTTCGGCTCCTGGTTCGTGCCTTGCTGCATCAGTGCCTTTGGCTGGTCTTGGTGGTACTTCGCTGCCTCTGCCTGGTGGTCCGTACCTGGGTGGGACAGTGCCTCTGGCTGGTGGTCCGTGCCTGGGTGGGACACTGCCTCTGGCTGGTGCTTCGTGCCTGGGTGGGACAGTGCCTCTGGCTGGTGCTTCGTGCCTGGGTGGGACTTTGCCTCCCTGCCCTGGTGTTGGTACTGCGCCTGGCCTCGGTGCGTGCCTTGGTGGCCTTCGTCCACCTCCTAGGCCACCTGTTAACGTACCTGGAGTTCGCACTGTGGTCCCATTGATGTCTGCGAAGCCGCCGTTGGTGCCTCCTGTGACTGTGCCGTTGGTGCCTAAGGGGCCTCCAACTGTTTTGGGCCCGCCTGAGCCTGGCAAAGGCCAAGGAGGCAAAGGAGCACCCGCAGGTCCTGTGACTGTGCCGTTGGTGCCTAAGGGGCCTCCAACTGTTTTGGGCCCGCCTGAGCCTGGCAAAGGCCAAGGAGGCAAAGGAGCACCCGCACGTGGGACTTAGGGATAAAACATATTCCAGTCATCTCAGTTGCGATTATACTTTGGGAATCGTCTGTAGATCTTCCCGTGCGTCTGGGTGCCTTTGTCATTTTCACACGATAACACTCGTCATTGAATCCAATGACGATTCGGGGCACACCTTACTTTAATTTAATGCCCG